TGTTATAAAGAGAAAATACAAAAAAAAAAAACCAAAAAACACTAAAAATCCGTGGTCAATGTACTTCAAGGTAGGAAAAAATCTGTAAGCCATAATGCTAGTTTACACGTGTCAGCTTTCTATCACTTGTAGCTCAATGATTTGTGATACATCATATTTTGCGCACAACTAAATCATTAATGAAAGAATGAATGAAATTTACTGTAGTCTGTAGAGTAATATGTACAAGTGTCTAACGACGAGTGGATACATGCCTGCGACAGGTGTAAGCCTTGAAGAGCAAGGAACCTGAGCTAGATGCCTAGAAGAAGAAACCAACAGGCCTGTGTATTGTGACAGTTACTGGCTTACTGCCTTGAGGAGTGATGAACCTGACCTAGAAGAAACTTGCAGCCCTGTGTTTTCTATGGCGGCACATACACTCCGGGACGGGATAAGCTATCACGTCACGATCTCTCCTCCCTCTGCGTGACTCAGGATAGCCTTGAGTTTTACCGTGAAGCTTCCGAGTTACAAGACTGAACTCAGATTCCGATACCGAAGAATTCTCCATCAAAGGAAGCATCAGTCTCTTATTAGGCATTATAAACTTCCTGTGTCCCACATAAGCTCTGTTTCCCTGAAAGAAAGAAACAGATATTTGCACAAACTTTAGAAAATCAAATCCATTAACCATGTAATCTCAAAAAATTATTTTTCTTGTGTGTCTTACCTGCATTGCTTTTGCCATGTTTCCTCCATGGGAAGGAAGAAAAACATCACTGCTAAGTGATACAATGTAATCAATAGCTGCTAAAGCTGAGGATCGATTGGTGTAAGGCAAGAGCTCGTCTTTATGAGCCAATGTTTCCTTTGTCACTAAATTAGAGAACTCTTTAGCGAGTGGCTCTAATGCTCGTGAGCCACCAAATGGCTCTCCTCCTGCAATATATATCGATGCGTTCCTAGGTGCTCCCAAGGCCTTCAACAACCTTTAATCCAAAAAGACTCAACCTTTTGAGTTTCGATCAAAGCCATATATACATATTGTCAAACATCAGTTTTATGTCCGATTTCTTCCTTTCAAGTTACCTTGCAATCTCATATGCATTGAGAGGACAAAACCCTGCAAGTCTACGCTCTGTATAGGTCATGTTTAGTCTACCAGTGAGGTATCCAGGCTGAGTCATTCGGGTTTCTGCTATGATTCGATCGAATTCGGAGCCTAATCCAGTCAGACAACCAGTTCTTACCCATACATCTTTCTCTAGCCTTAAATGGAGAGCAATATATGGACCTTCGATCCACATTCTTCTTGCGAGTTTGTTCCCGAGATTCTCAATCGGTGCTGCGAATCTCAGTGCATGGAAAGCAACCTATTGAGAAACAAATCAAGCCATCACTTTCCTCATTTGGAGACTGAAAAACTAAAGGGTTGTTTGAAAAAATTGTACCTTGCATCGAAGTTTCTGAAGATCCGGAGGGAGGTTCTTGGCTAGCCTTGAGTCTAAGCCTTTCAACACCAAAAGTCCTTCCTCATTCAACTACATTTAGTTTGACATCCAAAAATAAAGAGTCAGAGAAAAACATAAACTTGAGCTAAATCAGTAAACAGCAGAATCAAACCTGCTTGAAGTATTTAGCACGGATCCAAACCGGAGAGACATCCCAAGGAATCTGATTCTCAATTATTTGTCTAGACATAAGATGCGTTGAAGGTAGAGAAGAAACAATACGCACATCAGCTCTCAGCGTCTTCTTGAAATGCTCTACATCGAAAATATCTGAGAACTCACTGAGAAAAACAGAAGCTATTGAATCAGTAACGCGAGTCAAAACAGCCCCCCAAACAAAAAAAAGATGAAAACTTTTCCTCTGTTTTTGTTTTACCTTTCGTCTCCCCAGACTCGATTCACCTGCAAAACAGGAACAACAAGAGCAGCTTCAAGAATCATGGCGATTACAACAGCATCAACGATTTGATTCCGTTGTTGATTAAGACCACCAGAGACAACGACAACAAGGAATCGTTTCTTCTCTTTAGAAACTCTAGCCGACTTCTTCCTGTAACCCAAACTAAAATCCAAACAAGGCTCGTATCCTTCACCATTGGGCTGTTTCCAAAACTCTCTCTCTTCCTCCGTCATATTCCCGGAATGTCCTCCTCTAACCGGTAACGGAATCAGTGTGGGAGCGCTGGAGACGGCGAGGGAAGTTAAGATCTGACGGTGGTCGACGTCGGAGATGAAGAATTTGAGAGAGGAAGTGGAAGATGTGGAGACGCAAGTTGACGACCCAGGGTCTAAGGAAGATGTGAGGAATGAAACTCCCGAGAAAAGAAGAGAAAGTGCGATGAGAAGAAGGAAGAACTGTGGAGCAGGGCATCGAGTTTGGTGATGGTGGTTTAGGTATCGGGGACTTGATTTCTTCGGGGGAGTGAAGAAGAGGAGAGAGAAATGGAAGAATGGAGATGGCGGATGTGAAGTGAAGAATGGGTTTTTGATAGTTCTCATAGATTTCGCCATTGAAGCAGCTCCTTCGATCGTCCTTCACTGTGCAAAGGGGGAGAGAGAGCGATTCAGTTACACAGAGACTTCTGATTCTTGTTTTCCCGGGAAAATAAAAAAAAAGCCAGTACTAACGAATCGAGTATTTTGTAGTTCTTTCAAATTGCTCCCTGTATTTGTTATTTTATCATAAATAAAGACCTTAGTTCTATCTTAATACTAATTTACCGTTTAAAGTTCAAACCAATTCATTGATTCTGTCGTCTCGACAACTTTACAAGCTTAGAGTAAAAAGTTATTATCAATTTACAAGTGGGGAGTTTTAAGCTGCGAGTTGGTTCCAAATTAGCGCAGTCCGGTATGTTGATTAGCTCATCTTCTATTTACAAATTGTTGAAGTACCAGCTCTTATAAATATCAGATTCCGAGTAGAAAAACGTCTAGACAAATTACTTATTTTGTAAAAGAGACTGCGAAAATGCCCGGAAAAAAACTCCCATCTCAGACAGGAGACAACAGATAATATTCAGAAGTAAAAATTCTTCTCCAGATTTTGAATATTAGTCGAAAAGGCAAATGCAAGGACTAGAAAAAAAAAAAAAAAAAACTGTCATTCCGCAGATGAGTGGATATATAGATGTGTCTCTCTCTTGTAGTAAGGAAAAGAATGGATTCTAACCAGAGGAGATGATTTGCTTGAAGAGTCTTAGATCATGAAGACAATGCTTTTTTAACCTCTGATGTAACTTCTTGGGGAGGCTTCTCGGCATGGATGTTTGTGAGAACAGCCTTCTTTGCGTAGTAATCAATCACCTGTGAGCAAGGGAAAGAACATGAACATGATTGCAAAAGATACAGCTTTCCATTTTAATACGCATGGAGATGCATGAAGTAGGAAATAGTACCGGTTCAGTTTGACTGTGAAAAGCTGCAAGCCTCGACCTCAGAACTTCAGCGTTATCATCTTTGCGTTGGATCAGAGGCTCCCCGGTAACCTTCAGTAGCAAATAATGAAGAGAAGCAGTTGGTTAACAAAAGTTTGGGAGGGGGTCTGAATAACCAGATGAAAGATATCTAGAGTTATTGTAAGTCTTACATCATCAACTCCAGGGGTTTTGGGAGGTGCGAATTTTGTGTGGTAACTCCTGCCACTTGATGGGTGGATCCATCGCCCTGTTATTCTTTCCTCCAAGATTGAGTCATCAATGGCAAAGTTAAGAACTTTGTCGATTTCAGTTCCTCGCCTCTTAAGCATCTCATCGAGCTGAAAACAAAAGATAAACCACCATAGTTAGGAGTTGGTTACAATAGAAACCAAAAGAGCAAAAGCAAAAGGTGAGTTTTGTATTGGGCAGCAGCACCTTCTCTGCCTGAGTAACAGTTCTGGGAAACCCATCAAGGATAAATCCTTTTTGACATTTTGGCTTGTTCATGGCTTCATCAATTATACCAACAACCAAATCATCAGAGACAAGCTCTCCCTGGAAAAAAAAACAATCACAAAGAATAACTATCTAATAAGCAACCTCACTAAAAAAAAAGGGAACGAATAGCAAATAGAATATATCTGAAAGAAAGATAAAAGGAGCTGACTTTTTCCATAGCTTCTTTCGCCTTCACTCCAAGAGGGGTTTTAGAAGCAACAGCAGCTCTTAACATATCTCCAGTGGATAAGTGACACAAGCAATACTCATCCTTCACGACTGGAGACTGAGTACCTTTCCCTGACCCTGGAGGTCCTGCAAAATTCACAATAACAAAGCATTCTCAACATTCCATTTAACCAATCACATAGGTGCTATAATCTGCACCTTGATTCCCACCTTCAGAACAAAGCACAAGAGTCCCTAAATTTCACAATGCCATGTTTTTTTTAAACTCAGTCTGAAATAGTGGAATTGTAGATCTGCAAAGTCTCAGCTCTTAAACTCAAGCAGACCCAATTGAGACGAATCTCTAACAATTCCAACAATATGAAATATAACTCGAGTTCATGCTCACTGATACAATCACTCAGATCTAATTTTACCCTCCCAAAAGTTTCGAATTTCACAATAAACAAAGTTATCATTCTCCACAGATAACAACGAAAGTTCTGGATCTACCATTGCTACAACGAAGCAAGAGCAAATTTAGTCGTACCCGAGAAAAAAACAAAAGGATTGTATCAGTAAGATTACCGATGAAGATGAGGCGCTTGTCGGGCTTCTGTGCACATTTCAAACGACGGAGGAGCTCCGACATGAGATCAACCGTCTGAACATCTTCCAAGTCCGCCGCAGCACCGCCGGTCGCCATAGCTGATCTAGTTTAGCTCAATTAGCTCAAAAGTCTTCGTTTTCTGGAAAAGGGTTTTGCTTCTCATAAGTCAAAAGGATATAACAGTGACCGGGTCGGGTTTCGAAAACTCGGGTCTCTTTTATTAAAGAAACCCTTAAACTCACATTAATTTACATTAACTGCCACTCATGAAGATCTCTCTGACTGTCCGTCCATATAACAAAACTTTTAGGATTCAATTAAGAGTTAATGTTATTTATTTCCTTTTTCAATGGTTACATAAATAATAGGGGACCTTTTTCAGACACACAACACAATACCCGAATCGTTAAAGCATACAAAAGTTCTTTTCAATTTGATTTTTTTCTAAAAAGTGAAGAAAGGTATGAACAATAATATTAACATTGGTCACCATCTGCAGCAGCTTGCAACTGAGAAGCATATTGCAAATTCCACAAAATATCTTCGAAGGACGGTCGGCTTAAAGATTCTGGCGAAACACATTTGTTCATCAGAGTTATCACTCTTACTAAAGATCCGTTTCGACAAGTGGCTTGCACTGTCGGATTCACCATTCTTCTCCTCCCTTCCTCGCTCTCCAACGATGCCTAGATTAAAAAAAAACTTTTTTAATTAGCAGAAAGATCAAATCTGGTTTTGTGACTGCAATCTTAGCGAAAACGTACCAGTTCATCCCGTAGAAATGCTTCTTCTCTTGCAGAGACAGATGGTCCAACGATTGATTGTAGAAGAATCAATCCAAAGCTGTAAACATCATCTTCTAGCCTTGACATTTGCCATGATTTTGCGATTTCCTGATTGAAAAAATGTTACTTTGAGAATGATCAGTGTTTGATCAGAATCACTGGACTCCCCTATAAGTCCATCAAAACGCTTTGATAACTTTGAAAAAACGCTTTGATAACTTTTGAAAACAATGTTAAATTTAGGTACAAACATTTGTCGTCTTAGTTTAAGTTTCAGTTTAGGACACGATATAACAGAATAAATGGAAACTTCAAACAAAAACAGAACATTAAAGAAACGGGCTTAACTGTGTTATGTCTGGTTGCTTCAGAGACAATGGACAAACCATAATCACTCAGCTTCGCAAATCGGTGTTGGTTAAGCAAGACATTGTTAGTCTTGAGTCTATTGCTGAAGAATCCAGGAATAACTCCAGTGTGAAGAAAATGTACAGCCTTTGCAACACCTGTGAGAACATTTAGCCTCTCTGACCAATTCATAGCCTTACCAGAACTATCATCTGCGCAAAAGTCGAAAACATGCAAAATGCGTTTTAGTTTTTTTCAGAAATGTCAATACTTTGAATCGAAAAGATTTGAGTTTTTGAACAAGATTGAACCTGAGAGACAAGATTGAAAGTTTCCATTTGGAATGTATTCATAAATCAAGAAGACTTTTTCGACACTGTAATCATCTTTCCCTCCACAATCTATGCAATGACCCAACAAGCAAACAAGATTCGGATGTCTAAGCTTTGCAAGCAAATCCAACCGCAGTTTTAGATTTCTTATCGAGTATTTCTTCGATGAAGGTAAGCATCTTATAGCCACTTTTGTTCCATTCTCAAGATTTCCTTTGTAAAGCTGAAAATGATATATGAAGCAAATCTCAGAATCTATCTAAACAAGGTTAATGATGCTGAAAAGAAAAATGGTTTCTATGAAACTTTACCGTGCCATATAATGAGCTTTCACCAAGTATCATAGTCTTATCAAAGTTCCTTGTAGCTTTGACCAGCTCTTCTAAGCTAAACTGCCTACATACCGGTAAATCCTCTGAACCAACCTTGGATGTTTCAGAAACGTACCCTAATCACAATCATAATCAAAACAAAAAAGTATCATAAGTCAAAATCTTTTTCACAATATTTGAGAATTGCGAGTTTTAAAGGGAAGAATAAACCTTACTTGCGTTTGAGAGTATCTCAGAGGAAAATCCAATAGATGGATGATTATCATGGACTGTCTTATGGTTCAAATGGTTCTTTCTTCCTCCTTTTCTTCTAAGCAAGATGAATACACAGCAGATTAGAACCAATATCGCCATGGATATACCAACTATCAAACCCACTATAGCTCCTGTCTTCCATTTTCTTTGTCCTGATCCATTTTCAGCCTCTGCCACAGCTTCAGCTTCTTCCTCTGCGCGAACTTCTTTAACACAAAAAGTCTGTGGGTGCTGCTGCTTCTGTAGAGATAAACAGTTGCCATTGAATCTCAGCGTCAAATCTTTCTTGCTGCTTAAGCAACGAGGAAGTTTTCCCGTTAACTTGTTGTCGGAAATGTCGATAAACCAGAGTTTGCTCCCACATTTCAGATCACCCGGAAGTGAACCACTCAGAGAGTTCTCCCTCAGATCGATATACTCGATTGTGGACAACGAGAGTAATGAAGGATGCAGCTCTCCTGATAGCTTATTACTCTTAAAGCTAAGAACTTTGAGATACCAATACGAAACAAACCAGCTAGGTAATGTGCCATTGAAGAAGTTATGATCAAACCTGAAAGTTTCAAGCTTTACCATTGTAGACAGCTTGGGTGGTACTGATCCAAACAGAAAGTTATTGCTCAAATCCAAATACTCAAGTGAAGATAAACGATGAAGTTTATCAGGGAGATGACCCCAAATCCCTAGAGAAGCCAGAGTGAGAACCTTAAGAGATTTTAGCCTTGACAGTGTAGTGACAAATGATTCAATTGAGAACCTATCAGATAAAGTGACATTCGAGATAGGAAAACCCTGAAAGCTTTTAGCTTTTTCTGATGATTTATCACCGAAGATGTTGAGCTCTGAGACTGAATTAGAGAAACAAGTGATGTTCATCGATGGTGTTGCTTGTAAATAGCAGAAACTGGTCTTGTGATCATACCAAGATTCTAGCTGTTGTGGGTATTCCAAGTGTTTTTTCAGCTGAAGCAGAACTTGTGCTTGTGAAGCTTGTAGCTGAGATAAGCCTAAACTGTAGAAACTCCATAGGAGAGATAACAAGAAGATGAATTTCAAGAAACCCATTTGTCAGGTTTCAACTAAATTTATCAGATAAGATCTGAGTATTTGATGAACCAGCTGCCATAGAAAAAAACAAGAAACAGAGACGAGTCACTTCAACTTTAGAACTTTTGTGATTGGGAACAGAAAACCCAACAGTACAAAAAACAAAAACGAAACAGAGTAATCTTGAGAACAAGCTAGATAGCAGAGTAGTACCTTAAATTTCAAAAGCTTCAACACTTTTGTTCTTTAAACATTAAGACTGAAACATATCGATAAATCAGAGGGAAAAAAGAACAGATTCTTGCAGTCACCGACACATATCAGTGGTCGTGTAAAGAGAAGAAACAAAGCAAGAATCTTCAACGCGTGAAAAATAGAAGTTTTTTTGTTTTGTTTGTTCAGTTTATTAGTTCTTTGTTTTAGTGAGAGAGTAGCAGTAGTGTTTAATAGGCATACAAGAATCTTTCTTTTCGATATGCATGAGTTAAAATTTTGTGGGGTTAAAAACACTCATACCTATAGAAAGAGACTTTTATTATATGCTTATTATTATTTTAACTTTATAAATAAAAAGACAAAGCATAATGTATTGTATACTAGTATTATTTTAACAAATACTTATTAACAGTGATATTATTTTTTTAATCCATGTAGTACATTATTGTGTGGAACCTTTTGTATTTGTACGTATATAATTTGGAACCAAGTGATTCCGGAAGAAACCAAAGGAGAAGGTGTTAAATGTGGTGTCGTGATAATAGTAGTCATATGTAGTTGAATAATAATGACATGTATTATTGTGATTTAACAACGATGGAAGACATATAAAAATAAGAGAATAGATAACTCGATAATAGTTAGATAAAAATATATATATATAGTGATAGAGTTTTGTCATAACAAACAAAATAGAATGGGTTATACCATGTAAGTTGAAATACTTTACTATGAGAAAATGAAATGTGTAAGGCTTTTTATAATGTAATTTTTATATAGTATTTTATGTATGGGCAACTAATTATTATATATATAGCTTAATGGGGCATATAATCTTGTCATTTAGTAACAGTTTAAGCTCTTATTATAGTATTTAGGAAGAACCATAAAGCTTAAGTCAGAAGTTAAAAAGTGGTGGACCGGTGGGTGAAGTTTTAAATGCAGATGGTTGAGCCTTCGGGAATTGAGATTTTTCGTTTATTTAATTTCTTGGCTACACTATTGTGTCTATTTCCTCATCATTAAGTCACAGCCTGTCCTTTCTATATCGAGTGTTCAAGAGTCAAAGATGTGTACCTTGTTGACTCTTTCAATTCACACATGATTTGATAATACTACATTACTAGAAGTCTAGAACTCAACTACGTAATAAACAAGCATGCAATTGGAGTGAGAATTTGATTTTCATTACATCGGCTATTTTATTGTTAAAATGTGGTGTGTGATATAAGTCTTTGATTTCAAATGTATGTGGTGTGAGAAGTCTTTGATTTATAATAGTATAAAAAAAAGAGCTACTAAGTTTGAATATATTTGATTTGCATGCGCTGTGATTGTTTATTTTTGTATTTAAGTTAAGAATATAGAGAACAGGGACTCTTCGATCTCTTTTAAATATCAATTTCCCAATCAACGAATTCTGATAGAATAACTTTATTATGTACATTTATTTTATATACTACTATAGTATACTCTGAGGGACAAAAGAAGAATAAAATCAACGTTATTTTCGTATTTAATAAAATACTTCTCTATAAAATATAACATGATGGTATATAGATATAGTAGATAGTTTTGCGTATGAATGAGGTATATGTGATTGCTGTCTTACTTATTTTTCATGACCAGTCAATTTTCATTTATCACACACACTAGTTGGAGCTTTGGAAGTGTGTTATCATTGTATAAATTCTTTTAATAAAGCAAAAATTATGCCAAGTGGTCCAATCTTTCATGTGCCGAGCCATGCATAAAGAGAGACTATCAAACTAAAAAGTGATGCTTATAACTATCAGACTATAGTTGATCAAATGAAATTTATGAACTATAATCACCAAATTAAATATGTAATGATCTATTCTTTAAAGAATGTCAAGTTGGTGACAAAAGTTGGTGACAAACAATTCTTTACGTATGATTGTAAATGTGTCTTTGACAATCTTTGCGTTGACAATTATTACTTATTTCAAATGGTTTGACCATTATTATGAGTCTAATTAATAGACAATGCAAAAAAAAAAAAAAAAAAACTATATGTAGCTAGCTGGAAGTTCCAAGAATCATATTATAAGTAAAAAAGACTTACCTCATCATTGATTAATAAGATGAAAACCATCCCCTAATCAAGTACGAGTTGGCATGTGGTTGATGCTCGGGAAGTAAGTAAGAGAGCTCTTTGATCACCTCATGCTTTAAAATACAAAACCACCAACAAACACACCGCCTATGTATGTATATACCCACGATGAATAAGTATTATAAGATGGAGAAATTCTACAAAAACAAGAGTAAATATTTGCAATATATAATATGGACATTGGCTGTTTAATTTACCTCTGAATACATCGTAAGACGGCGTCAAGTTATTTGGAGGTATACAGACATCGTAAATCTGCACACAAACCCCTATCCATCAGTCACCAAACCGTTCGGCTTATCTTGAATTACGCGGATGTTTTAATGCCCATAATGATCTTAGATATTAAATGGGCCTGGGCCGAGCTGCAAAGTATAAGCCTACTTGCTGTATTGGTGGTCTGTGTAACTAACTTCATTATTCAGACCAAACAATTTCACAAAGTGACAGTGTATATCCGGTTCTTCGGTATCAACGTCCCGAACAAAAAACTCTACGGTTGAGTAAAAACCGGATTTTTCAATTTTAATTGAGAAGGTTTTATTGTATTCGTCTCCCATCCCAGATAAGAGAGAGAGATAGTTTACAGTCACAGAGATAGTTTTCTCACTCCATCTCTCTCTCTCTCTCTTCCTCTCCCTCTCTCCGTTTCCCGCTTCCACTCTTAAACCCCATCATTGTCGCAAATAAACCCTTATCCGCACCTTCAGGGTTTCTTTGGTTTTGTTTTACAGTGATGATGAAACCTGCTTCTTTGCAAGGTTTCTCCTCACATGTGTCCTCTACTATTTACTCCGATGTTCGCAGACCAGCTACTACTCCCTCAAAAATGGCAGCCTTTAGTGCCCTCTCGCTTTGTCCCTACACTTTCACCTTCCGGCAAAGCTCTCGAATTAAGTCTACCGTTTCCTGTTCCGTCACTTCTGCTCCTGCTTCTGGTCTGTTGTTTCATTTCTCCTCTTCTTTTCTTTTTGGGTTCTTGGGAAATTAAGTTATTGATAGAGTAAAGGTGTTCCACTACTCTACTTGGTTTCAAGTTTTTTTGAATTGGTACAAGAAAAATTGAAACTTTTTGAGATTTTCAGTTGATAGTGGCAGATTTTGGATAGAGTTTCTTTGGAGATTCTCACTCTGATTGTGTGATTCTCACTCTGAGTGTCTCAATCTTTGAATTTGATTCGTTATGTGTCGTGAATGGACCATAATAGACTGATTAGTGAAGTGGTTGTTTTGGTGTATTGAGTTGTTTTCTTCTTTTTTTAATTTGTTGATTATGGTGTAATGTTTTCTTCTTTCTATGTTTCAGGCACATCTTCTTCCTCTAAGACACCGCGTAGACGACGAGAAGGAGTTGGTAAAAGCATGGAGGACTCTGTAAAACGTAAAATGGAACAGTTTTATGAAGGAACCGATGGACCGCCTCTCCGTGTTCTTCCCATAGGGGGCCTTGGTGAAATTGGAATGAACTGTATGCTTGTTGGAAACTATGATCGTTACATTTTAATCGACGCTGGTATCATGTTCCCTGAGTAAGTCCAGAGACAGATGCATCTTGTTTATTATATTTGCGAGATCTCTTTTTCTTTCCTTCGTATGTGTGGTATTAACTTCCCATGGAAAACATTGCTGGATAATGTTACAGTTACGATGAGCCTGGGGTCCAGAAAATAATGCCAGACACAGGATTTATCAGACGATGGAAACACCAAATTGAAGCTGTTGTTATAACGCATGGTCATGAAGATCACATTGGTGCGTTGCCTTGGGTAAAGTCTTCTTCCACTCCTTGTATAAGTCATAACCCATAGACCTTTTGGAAATTTCTAGATTGAGTAGGTTTTATTTTCCAATTAACAGTCGAGCCTCATTGGTATACTGCAGTTTTTTCTTTTCCTCTATCCATTGTTGGCCTCTGCCCTTTTTCTTAACCAATACTCTTTTCATGAGCAGGTTATCCCAGCATTGGACCCTAATACACCGATATTCGCTTCATCCTTCACCATGGAGGTGGTTTACACCTTGATTCTTGACATTTACTTTTCTCTTTCAATAAGTCTTATTTATCGTAATAGGTACTAAGCTTAGACGTATAGCTTCAGCTCAAAATGTATGTAACTGAGCTTGTGTTTTTATCAGTTAGACCTCTCATTTACCGGCATTTTAGTTTCCTATGTCATATCACCCGTAAACTTCTCTTTGCATTTTCACTCATAAAACGTTTTGTTTGTCTGTGCAATAGCTTATAAAGAAGCGCTTGAAGGAGCACGGAATCTTTGTTCAATCTAGACTTAAGACATTTAGCACTCGAAGAAGATTTATGGCTGGACCATTTGAGATAGAGCCCATTACAGTTACACATTCTATTCCTGATTGTAGTGGATTATTCCTCCGCTGCGCTGATGGTAATATTCTTCACACTGGAGATTGGAAGGTAGAGTAAAACCTCCTCATGAATTATTCATGTCCCTTTCTATAGTCATCAAGATGCATGAGATAAATTTGATTAATAACAGATTGATGAGGCACCATTGGATGGAAAAGTCTTTGATCGTGAAGCTTTAGAGGAACTCTCAAAGGAAGGAGTCACGTTGGTAAGGATTCTATGCACAATCATACTCTTGCTATATTCTTAAAGCATATAAACCAAGGTTTAAATGGTCATACTGACTACTAGAGGTGATAACTATAAAACATTTTTTCCATCTCTTACACAGATGATGAGTGACTCAACAAATGTGTTGTCACCTGGAAGGACAATTAGTGAAAAGGTGGTAGCAGATGCTCTGGTAAGGAATGTAATGGCGGCCAAAGGAAGAGTAATCACAACTCAGTTTGCCTCTAATATACACCGTTTGGGAAGTATAAAAGCTGCTGCTGATATAACTGGTCGAAAGTTGGTAGGTCTTTCCTCTCACATTTTAGATTTGACTATGTTTTGCATATTTTTCCAACTAAATGTTTTCCCCAATAAATTCCAGCTTCGGCGATTTTATCTCATGCTGCCAAAATTTCCTCAAATTATGCAGCATCAATTTTCATTTAGTAAGTTAGAAGAACGAAGTTTCATTTGTTTTTCTTTTATTTAGGTCTTTGTTGGCATGTCATTGAGGACATATCTAGAGGCAGCTTGGAGGGATGGAAAGGCTCCAATTGACCCGTCAAGTCTGGTATAAGAAACTTACGCTCACTAGCCATTATTGATGCAAAAAGATACAAAGCGCCAACACCTGCCATATGTTGGTTTGATGATTATAACAAGTTTTGCTTTCTAATTTCAGTTAATCGTTTATCATTTTCTAATGTTTACGCAGGTGAAAGTTGAAGACATTGAAGCATATGCTCCCAAGGAATTGCTGATTGTCACGACTGGATCACAAGTAAGTTTTCTAGTCAACAAGTGGAGTGGTTGTTTTAATTCGACTTCTTAGCTAATTTACTTGTTACCCTTATTTGACAATGACTCTGATCAGGCAGAACCACGTGCTGCCCTGAATCTTGCATCATATGGGAGTAGCCACGCATTCAAACTTACAAAGGAAGACATAATTCTTTACTCAGCGAAGGTATTAGAGAGATATTATATAAAAATGTACCTGCATATGCTTCAGAGTATCTGAAAAGATGGAGGCTGGGATGCTGATATCTATTCTCGGTCTAATGTTTTACTGAAGGTAATCCCAGGCAATGAATCACGAGTAATGAAAATGATGAATCGGCTAGCAGATATTGGGCCAAATATTATCATGGGTAAGAATGAAATGCTGCACACATCTGGTCATGCCTACCGTGGAGAATTGGTAAGCGGCTGCTTTTCTCTTAAGGTCCTTGATAAATACAAGTTTTGTTGCCAGCGTTACCTTTCTTTCTCTTTTTACTTCAACAAGATTAGGCTTTTAGCGCATATGTAAAGAAATAAAGCAATAGTGATTCCATTTTTATTTTATTTTTACAAATTGACAAAACTCTAGGGGAGAAGTTTGATTCTAATGATTTAGAAATTTCCCTGTTTTGAAGGAAGAGGTTCTTAAAATAGTGAAACCACAGCATTTTCTACCTATACATGGAGAACTTTTGTTTCTTAAGGAGCATGAGTTGCTTGGGAAGTCTACTGGGATTAGACACACTACTGTAAGTCTCTTACCAAAGATTTATGTATTCATGGTAGGTAGAAAGCATACAACATATGAAATTGCCGATTGTGAAGATTTTCTGAAAGTTATGCAACATCTTATGAGTTTGATGAAAAAGATTCAAAATTTCAGCTGGTAACAAAGTGTCGCGACCATGAAAAGAGAATTTCTGAGACATGTTCAGTTTCAAACATAGATTTCGTGGAAGAATCCATTTATTATCTCTGAAATATAAAATAAATAAACCATTTAAGTCTGGTAAAGAACCTAGGTCAACTTTTGCTGAATGTGCCCTTTTTTCTGAACTTTCTTCAACTTCAGGTTATAAAGAATGGAGAAATGCTTGGAGTTTCTCACCTGAGAAATAGAAGGGTTTTGTCCAATGGATTTAGCTCTCTTGGGAGGGAGAATTTGCAGGTTGGTTTTATTGTCACTGTTGTGTTCTCTTTTTCTGGGGTAAATGACTTGAGTAGTTATTGAATAATCCTAGCCTTGCTGCAGTTGATGTATAGTGATGGAGATAAAGCATTTGGCACATCAAGTGAACTATGCATTGACGAACGACTCAGAATTTCTTCTGATGGCATTATAGTTCTGAGGTAAAACTGAATTGTTAAATTTCTCTGCCGATGCATTATCTATAGATAATTACTCATTTCCTTGTATGATTTTCTATAATCCAGCATGGAAATCATGCGTCCGGGAGTCTCAGAAAACACCTTGAAAGGAAAAATAAGAATCACAACGCGGTGCATGTGGCTTGACAAAGGAAGACTTTTAGATGCACTTCACAAAGCTGCCCATGCTGCTCTATCAAGCTGTCCTGTGACTTGTCCCTTGTCTCACATGGAAAGAACGGTCTCTGAAGTTTTGAGGAAGATTGTGAGGAAGTACAGTGGAAAGAGACCTGAAGTCATTGCTATAGCCACTGAAAATCCAATGGCAGTCCGAGCTGATGAGGTCAGCGCAAGACTGTCTGGTGATCCAAGTGTTGGTTCTGGAGTTGTAGCTTTAAGGAAAGTTGTTGACGGACATAGCAAAAAAAGTCGACCAAAAAAAGCACCTTCACAAGAAGATGCCCCAGAAGAAATAGATCGCACTTTGGAAGGTAACGTCTCACTTACACATTTATTGGTGTATATTTGGGTTTTCGCCTTTTCGGTATGTAATCCAACATGCTTCACTCATGCAGATGATATTATTGATAGTGCAAGACTACTGGCTGAAGAAGAAACTGCGGCATCAACGTACGCAGAAGAAGTTAAGATGCCCGTTGGGAGTTCCTCAGAAGAGTCGGATGACTTTTGGAAATCATTCATCAGTCCATCATCATCACCTTCGCCAGGTGAAACCGAAAATGTGAATAAGGTGACTGATACGGAGCCTAAAACAGAGGATAAGGAAAGCAGCAGAGACGACGATAATCCATCTGATACTTCAGATTCTGAAACTAAGCCGTCATCAAAACGTGTGAGGAAGAACAAATGGAAACCGGAGGAGATTAAGAAGGTAATCAGAATGCGTGGAGAGCTGCACAGTAGATTTCAAGTGGTGAAAGGTAGAATGGCGTTGTGGGAAGAGATCTCTTCAAATCTATCAGCTGAAGGAATCAACCGAAGCCCGGGACAATGCAAATCTCTCTGGGCGTCACTTGTTCAAAAATATGAGGTTCGTCTCATATCATATGAATCTATAGCTGTTGATTTGATGTTCATGTTTAGAAGATAAAAGCTCTACAACTAAGATTGATCTACACACTTGTTTGCAGGAATGCAAGGCTGATGAAAGAAGCAAGACGAGTTGGCCACATTTCGAGGATATGAACAACATTTTGTCTGAGTTAGACACACCTGCGTCTTAAGTAATGTCATTACATTACATTACATTACATTATCCGCCCAAAAGAATCATCTCCAAGTTTCTTAAATTGAAGAGAGGCATTCATATGTATGTAACCTGTAAGATGAATTTATCTGTAGAAGCTATCAAAGCAGAATCCAAATGCCAAGGGAGAAGAAAAGCCTTCACAAGTCTTTTTGGTTTGGTTAGACATTCGGTTTGGCTTAGAACACATTTAAACCGGATTTTGCTCAATTTTGATGATAATGTGGGTTTTTATTGGTTCTGCTCTGTTTTATATTAATCCAAAGGGATTTGGTTCTTGTTGATTTTATTATTGTATAATACCAAACAATTCGTGATTAAATCCGGTTCAGATTCAACCGGGATATAATACCAAAAGTTAACATACGAAATGACGATTTCACCCTTAACGCAACGTAGCCTGACGGTTCGGTGTTTCACCGTCGATGGTTAGCCGCCGTGGCAATTTTGTTAATTTCTTTTCTATTAATTTTATAAAAAACAATGCCAAAGAAATTATTTTTGCAAAGTGAGAGCTGAGTTTCCGACAAAATTCTTGGATTGACGAACGTTGAAGAAGAAGAGAGATGCCGAAGAGAACGACACATACGTATTCGAGCGAGGACGCGGCGCCGGACGGACCCGACTCTGATCTCTTCGTTTATTACTGCAAACACTGTGGTTCTCATGTCCTCATCACCGGTTCGTTTCTACAAATCTTTCACCTACTTCCTAATCCTTTTATATCCGAGTTAGGGTTTAGTTGCTTGAAATTAGAGTGGAACACTACTTGCCCACATCGAATTGGCGATGTGTGGAATGATTTGCTTGATTGTTTTTCTGGTTTCTAGATACACTGAGTTCGAATTATGATTGAAAGATTCAGTATTTGATTGCCCATGGTAGTTTTACTGTTTTAAAGTGGTAGACTTGCTGGTTTGATGCTTTAGTTAAGGTTAACAACAAAGTACGTTTAGGTTCAAAGACTTTAACACATATATGCTTATATTGATATTAGTTTGTGAACTAAAAAGCTGGAATGTGTTAAGACTTGTAATCTCTGTCCGTCTCTATGGTCTTCTTTTGGCAGCTCATTGCATCTTTCATGTAATTCTCTACATCTACTTATGTTCTGAATCTTTCTTTCTGGTTTGGTTTCTCATTGAGAACTTAAAAGCTAAGATTTCACATGTTGTTAATCAGGTCAAGAGTGTGTAACATGCAAAGTTGTGGTGATTAATATTTATATATGGTATCCTTCTATAGTGTTTGTATACTAATTTAGATTCTTTACAAGATACCCAGTTGCAGAAGATGCCAAAGAGGAAGACCGACAGATCCAATGTACTTGACAAGAAGAAGCACCTTGCTAGGTTAAATGTCAGCGAGGGAGGAAAAGTTCTATTGAAACGGTAAGTTTTTATATGAGGCTAGTGAGCCAGTCTTACGCTTCAGATTTGGGTCTAACGTCGATGTAATAGTTTATATCTTTATGTTTGGTTTGTTACCAGCGGTGAAGGGAAAATGGAGAGACAGTTTAGAATGAACTGTATTGGTTGTGAGCTTTTTGTTTGCTATCGTGCTGAAGAGAATCTGGAGACAGCGTCTTTCATTTACATTGTTGATGGAGCACTTAGTGCTGTTGCTGCAGAAACTAACCCACAGGTACAATTGGTTTCTAACAATTTTTCCAATGGCAATATCAAAAACTAGATAATTAATCGGTGGTTATTACACAGGATGCACCTGTACCTCCCTGCATTTCACAACTGGACGGTGGACTTGTTCAGGTTGCAATAGAAGTGGAAGACCGTGCACAACGTTCAGCAATCACAAGTAAGACATAGTCATATGACGCAATTTATTGTCTTACCTACTTTACTTGGATCTTCGATTAAACAGTGTGATTGGCCCTTACTTTCTCTCTCTGCAGGGGTAAATGCTGATGATGTTCGTGTGACTGTTGCTGCACCAGCAGCTCGTGGGGAAGCTAACAACGAGCTCCTGGAATTTATGGGAAGGGTACCAAACCAATCCATAAAACACTTTTAAAGATTTATTCTCTAATTAAGAAGTTTCTTACGTTGTATGCGAATGAGGTTTTTTGACCAAGGCGACATGACTTCTGTATTTATGCTCTTTCAGGTTCTTGGTTTACGGTTGAGCCAGATGACTCTCCAAAGAGGTTGGAATAGCAAATCAAAACTCCTCGTGGTACGTTGATCCTTCCTTCGAGTCTCTTGAGAAGACTTTGTGGAGATTTATCTCTAAAACTCTTATTGGTTTTCTTAGCTCTAGATGATAAGTTTTCTTTGGCTCTAGGACCGCTAAGAGTGATGATAAAAAAAAAAAATGGTTGTAGCATTGAAAGAAATACTCATTATGATTTATATTCCCCTGAACCAGGTCGAGGATTTATCTGCTAGACAAGTGTATGAGAAGCTTCTTGAAGCCGTTGTACCATAAAATCTGCGGTTTGTGGTCGGTGAAGCACATTAACTGAAAGCTCTGCAGCTCTTTTGTTAACGCCTTTTATTGGTTTGTTGCAAAAAAAAAAAGAAAAAAGAAGAAGTCGAGTTTTGTATTTTTACTTGAGAAGCTAAGAGAAATATTGCTTTCTTCGTTGTTTTCATGCTTATGCGCGATCACTACTGTTTCAGTCTTTCCCACACTAATCCCTTATTATTTTATAAATCGTCTTTCGTTACCTTCAAAACTGTTTAATTTAATTAAAAAAAACACAAAATTTAAATAAGAGTTGTCACGTTTAGTTGTTTTACTTGGGTCACATATATATAAGTGTTACCTAATTATTAAACAAAAACCTTGAAAAGGACCTACAACATTTGATGTGTATCTCATTTCCAATCCAAATCTCCTTTTTATTTTTATTTTATTTTATGCGTTATGGACAACCAATCAAAATCTTTTCATATCTCGTCTGTTGCAATATCAGAATCATTGTTCAATAAAAAAAACTATCTAATATCTTCAAATAGCGGTGGGACGTTCAGTTAGAAACTTAATTTACAACGTGTTTATATATCTTCAACAAAATTTCGAAACGCAAAATAATTCATATATTATGAAGTTTAAAGTATAGATCTAGATACTGAAATTATTGTGAATTGTGAGTTTGTATGAGCTAGTATTCTTGTCCTGCATGTCACATCATTCTGAGTTATATCACTTGGTTCAGAAACGTGTTATAATATCATATACATTTGCATATTATAAATGGAATGGGAATTCCAAATTGAACCAAGTAATGCTCGAAATTATAGCTCCATGCAATATCGGTAATGGGGTAAAATCACATGATGATACTTGTGAAGATGTTGGACAGACGAAGACACACATGAACTAGAACACCTGTGTTATAAACTTATAATTAAGGACATAATACGATACGTCTCCAGCTCATTATCTAACGTGTAACAAAGATGATCACGTTTCTTTGGCCGTTTTAGTGAAACCAAAAGAGTTTAGAACTTTACAAAAATTAATTCGGCTAGTAAGACGAGACATTTCTGGTTGTGTATATTGCTACGAATTGGTCGGTAACGAAGACAATAATAGCATGCATCTAACTAGTGTTGTCCCGATTAGACAACTTGAGTCTTGTGATTTAGTAATGCTTTAGATGATTCGGTGGAAAATTCGAATCTCTGTAAATTATATAATATATTTTTCGTGTACACCAGACCAGAGATGGCACTGTACTGTGGCATGTTTCAGTACGAAATATTCGCTGTATAGACTGCCCCAATCTCTATTAATTTATGAACTGATATTGGACATACACGTACTTCCACAATTTGTTTATACGCTTTGTGACTTATTAGTCCAATCAAAATGATTATTATATTATTGTGCATCTACTTCGATAAGACTATTTATTTATTTTCTATTCACAAGTGTAAACTGTGAATCACACACATATATTTATGATTTGATTTAATATGTAAACCACACATTTTACATATTAGTTGGATACTCTCTATGTATATAATAAAGGATATGACTTTATTAGTAATCTATTATATACAATCGTCGAATTACATTTGCTCTCTTCTCTTGATCTTCACGTTTAGCCCACCAGCCATGTAAGCCGTTAACAGAGGAACAAATACCGGTCGGTTATTGCGAACCGGTACAATCTCGAACCGACTCAAAACCGAACCAACCACGTATTTCATCTGCGTGAAAGCCATTTCTTTCCCTATGCACACCCTTGGTCCGGCTTGGAATACCGGAAACTTGAACGAACTCACACTTTTCAAAACCGGTTTAGTACCGTAGTTTGGTTCTTCATCAAACCACCGGTTCGGTTTAAACTCTTCCCAGTCTTGACCCCAAACCTTCTCCATCCTTCCCATACCGTAAGGGAAATAAGTAACTTTGTCTCCTTTTCTGACAAGTGTTCCGTCTGGGAGAACGTCGTCGTTGGCTGCATGCTTCGAGTCCCAAGCCACTGGTGGGTAAAGCCTCATTGCTTCACAGAGACATGCTTTCGTGTAACTCATCTCTCTCAAATCCTCGAACCCTAACCCTAAAGATCCTATGCCTTTCACTTCTTCCAGTATCTTTTTCTCTACGTCATTGTTTTGACACAACAACCAAAACAGCCACGTCATCGCCGCCGACGTGGTATCCCTTCCCGCCATGATAAAGCTTATTACACTATCCCTCACCGATTCTTCCCCGTGCCCAGAGGCGAGAAACCTCGACAAGAGGTCCTGCTTGTCCGACACGTCGCCACCGATATCGAGGCTTTTCTTCTTGGCACGGATGATCTCGGAGACTGACTCGTGTACGGTCATGATCGCTTCTCTCAGCCTCCTTTCGCTCCCTATGTTCAACAAACGCTTCAGCTTCCACACGGCGTATATCGGCTCCGTGGCCCGGCGAGCGCTGATCTCCGCCGCTACATCAAAAGCCTTAACAAGATCCGGAACAGGTCGGGTCAAATCCAAACAGTCCGGATCCCAACCCAGCGAAACTTTACAAACAACATCGAAGGCGAAGCGCTTCAAAACCTCCTGAAGATCAACCGTACCTCCAACGTCCACGGCGGAGGAAAGCACCGGGATGAGGCGGTTTTGAACTTCTTCACGGAGGATTTCGAAAGTGAATTCCCTAAGAGAACGCATAGTAAACTCGTGGCTCGCGAGTTTACGCTGGGAGCTCCATAACTCACCGTCAGAATTAAAGATTCCGCCGCCGAGTAGATCTCCGAGTAGCTCAGTGAAAGGTTTGCCTTTAGGGAAGTTACAAAAGTTTGTTTTGAGGATGTGCTCGACGTTTTCTGGGTTTGCAGTGATAATAGTCCGACGACCAAAGAGGAGATTGACGGTGATCGTTTGAGCCGGAGAGAGACGGAGAAGGTCGGTGTACCATTGAAGAAGACGGTGGCGGTTTTTCTTAAAGGAGAGAATAGAGCCGATGAGTGGGTACGACGCCGGATCAGAGGGTGGTGTGGTTTTGGGTTTTAGGGTTTTGTATGAAAATGAAAAGATTAGTATGAGCCCTAAGATTGGAAACAGGATGAGAAATAATGCGTCGGGCATTTCCATATCGAAAGTCTTGGTTTCTTGTTTGGGAAAGTTAATTATGTTGTTTTGATGCATGTTCTTGGTCTGTAGAGCTACTATTATATATATACACATATTATTATTATTATTATAGGAGTATAGAAACAGAATAAAAGTTGTGGCTCCGACCATATGACTTCGGTACAGAACACGACATAATTAATAAAGTTATCTATTTTTTTTCTTCATTTCTTTCTTTTATTGTTTACTAATTTTGTTCTCATCTCAACCCTAATTAGATTAACGATAACAAGTTGTTTTAGGTAGATGAAAAACCGCTGAGATTAACTTTTTTTTTGCCTTTCCAAATGTTAAAATGTCATTTTCAAAAGATTAAAAAAAAAAAAAAACCAAACGGAAAACAGGAATTGTATAAGCTCGTGTTTTATTTGTTTTGTCAAATATCTAAGCTACTTTTAGAAACAATTTACAAAAGTACATATGTTAGATTTGACCATTATAAATTAGAATGTCAAAGATTTCGGTTTTTGATAACAAGAAAATTTGGTATTTGTTTTGATATTAATCAAATTAATCAAATTAATCTATCTAAAAAAAGTTGTTGATGGTCAAATAAAGTAAAACGTTTTCCAAAAACAAAATGTCACTAAATGTCGACGCAACATGGCAATCACAACACATCAGGGACCAAAAAAATGAAGATTGATTTGGACAAGCAAGTACCACCCCGCATTGGTGGCCACTGGCCAAGTCTCCGGCCAAAACTTTAATAAGGAAACGTATATAGAGGACACGCTTCAAACGCTGAATAATTTAAACCATTTAATTTGTTTTCCTTTAACCAAAATTAATCATAAATTTTAGTGAAAATGGTCTCTCTGAACTACTCTTTACTTAGGAAGAATAAATTTTATAGAGATTGCCATGGATTTAATGTGTATGTTTAGACTGTTTTAGTAGTTTGGTAACTAACCAAAAGTATAACGTTTTATATACTATGTATAGGTTTGATAAACTTGTAAGTAGAGTTTTGTTCTTTTTTTTTTATTATGTATGAAAAATTGTTTGTATAAATTATATGTCGTATTTTTTCTAATAATACAATAGAGATAGATATGCTCGGTTGCTCTCCATCAAAGTTAAAAGCATTGAATATAAAAAAATATCGAAAGCATATTCTGCTGACGCCAAAAATGTATGCATTTGGTTTGTAAGGTTGTTGGTTGCATATAACTTTTACAAGCAACATGTAATTAAGAAATATAATCAAATCAAATAGCCTTAGTGGAATAGTACCACATAGGTTTCTTATAGAATCTTTCACTTAATTAGTACATCTAATTAGTACTAAACGCTATTAGTATTATATTCATCAACTAAAATGTCCAGCACGTGCTGACATAAGTGATATGATCTGTGGGATTTGTTGAATAATGAACTTTGTTGATTCTTTGGGAGTAGTTCTTGAAGATATTTTGAATCAAAGGGAATATCCAATAATGTATATATAGTATCATAATATTTTAATGCAATAGAAGATTTGTTAAAGCTGGGGCCAGAGAGAGATGAATAGTTCAATCAAGATTAATTACTGTGTACAACTGGTTCCTAAGTAGAGCCTAATTAGTTTGTAGAGACTTGTATAGGTAGACGAAGAAGAATGAATGAATCATTAGCATGATGAGGACAAAAGTATTTGGTTGGAGAATCCGCCAATAAAGAGACATGTGTCGGATAAGATCGAACACGTTGATAAAAACTTGTTCAGCCGAAATCTAAAACAAATGAATGAATCAATTAATGAATACGCACGATTCTCTATTATTACTACTTGTGTCTCTGTGTATTTAGAAAAACTAATAAAAAATACACTTTTTTTGTTTGTGACGACTAGTTCAAGTTCAAGTGGATCTTTCTTTTATTAGTTTTTGAGCACGTGGTTCTCGTGGTTTGAATATTTTTGGGTTTTTTTTTTCTTCTCATAGAGCAAAAAATGTTCTCAACTCGAGTTCCATTGACCTTTTTCTCAACCCTCGTGCTTCCTGAATTTAATCATCCATAGTTTTTTCATATAATTTTTCTTACTGATCATAAGAAAATATCTATTCTATATGGCATGTATTTTACGTGGTGTTCGATAAATTATGGAAAAGCAAAAATTGATGAATGCAAACTGTTTGTAAATCCAACGTTGATGGGACATTTGGTAATCGAGGGAAGGATGATTATACTGGGGGGGCTAGAAGCCATTTTTTTAAAATTAGTTCATATGCAAAACATGTGAGAATTGTGAGGCTTTCACGTTGTGGCCACTGGCCAGAAAAATAACGGCGCCGTTTTGGAGTAAGAGGTCAGAACCATTAGCTTACGAGTTTCCTTCCACTTCCACAAGTGTACCATTCGTTACTTCTTATTTTGATTTGACACAATTATTTGGCATATATAACCATTAACAACGAAAAATACAAAAAAAAAAAAAGAAGAAGAAAAAACTTTATGTCTCTTTTTTTGGTTGATAATTAAAGTGCTTTCTCTTTCAATTTGTCGTTCTCATAATTTCATATTCACCGTCCAAAAGAGCCTCGTGGTTTTGAGTCGCACCGACTTTGTTTATGAGGCTACAAAATGCAAACTCGTTTTAGAATCAGCCCAGAAATAGAGATTATGAAGATGAACTAAAGTTCTATCTCAACGTTACACTTTGCTCTTTTCAGTTATCCCCTAGTGACCAAACATTACGTTCTTACATTTTTCAACAAATCAAATCACAAACGGATTACTTTGTTTCACTTTTTTGGTAGGTGAACTGAATTGGAAAAATCTTTTAGGTGTCTCACTTGCGTGTCAAATCTTGGTTTGCCTTGCCTGATTCTCTTCTCTGATTATTAAACTCTTTTTTTTTTTTTAAGATGAAATCCACGTTACAAATGTCATGACTCTTTGATGAATCATCTCAAAACCAAACCAGATTCATAAATTAAAGTACCCTAGATCAAAAAGATATGTTTTAATAAAGTACAACACCAATTTTCACATGTCAATGGGAAACCTCTAAAGATACATATATTCACCAGGTGGTTTTCTCAATCTTGATCCCTTTTAACTTCAGTTGGCACTCTTCAGCCGCGCAATGAGCTCATCCTGCAAGACCAGTCAAGTTTATTAATCGATGAGCAAACCAATAGCCAAGAATGATAAACCAACAAGAATCAACACCACTATATAGCAGGCAACAAATTCTTCAAGAAACTATCGCCAACACAAAATTGAAGAGCTACAAAGAGTTTTAACAGAGACTTCAATTAAAACATGGGCATATGTTTTGGCTTGCCTTTCTTCCTTTTGTTGGCAGGCCTTTCTCCTTGAGAAGGGCACGGAGTTTCTCAACAGTCAAAGACTGAAACTCTTTTTCGCCTGCGCGACTGCTTGATCCTTCTGTACAGATCGAAACATATAGTTTTAGTCCAAGTAACATGTGAATTTCTTTAAATAATAAATCAAATAGCATTGAAGTGCAGACCTTGTCTAGATACATTAGCAGCTCTTTTGGCTGGGTTTCTTTCGTCCAGAGCCCTATTTGCAGCCCTAAGATTAAGAAAAGGCAAAAGATGAACACACCATTTATGTAGCCATTAGGAAGAATGGACAATTCTCATAACAGAGTAGAGATTTCAGAATTTTCAGTTAGTATTAGTCACGAGAGCGAGGTAAGAACAAATCAAGATGTGTGTAGTTACCTCTTTTTAGGACCATCTTCAGCACTTCCTTTGGCCTCTTTCGAGCTAGATTCGCCTTTTTGCTTCTTTAACAAGAGAGATCTGATAAGTATATTTTGCTGGTTTGTTTTGATATGTTGTCCTTCTGGATATATGACCAACGACAAGTAAAATTTTATTAATCAGACAGTTAAATAAAATTCAGAAGGAAACAACCACCTGTTACTGAAACGCAACTGATAGTAAGGTGACTCCTATATACTTTTACACAGTAAGCCATTTCAAACCCATAGAGAAAATGAAAAGTAATTGCTTTCTGAGATAGCTGCAAAAAACTGTCTCTAAAAAAAACAAAACTCGTAGAACAAAGCAAAAACAAATGGAGTTTTTTTTTAAGATAAGTAATACCAGGGGGAGATGTGTCATGCTCACAAATGTAGACCCGTAAGCTTCCCTGAAATCTTAGACAAAAGGAAGTTACTAAATGTATAAATCAGCTTAGACACCAAAGCTATTGCTACACAAATAGATTAGTCAAATAGCATCAGCCCATACAATTCAGTCAATTCACCACATCATCATTACATTACACAATTCGATTACGAACATCAAAGCTTTTTAAGCACATATAACTCAATGGCACTGGCAAAATCCAAAGCAAAAGCAGAAAATTAGAGCTTACGGGCAAAAAAAGTTTGGAACCGCAACTCAAATTCAGAATAACCCATCAGACAAAGACTCATCTGATTAAATTCTACACAACTAAAAAGATCTGGAACTCGACTCAAGTGAGCAAGAAGATCTGAATCAGTAGCATCCGGAGTTGTGTCTCTACGACCAATTTCGAACCAAAAATTGAGTAAGCACAACAAAGCCAATCACTTTCGCAACCCAACTTTTTTAAAAATTCCGGAATCCAAAATAGGTCTTAAACTACAAACAAAAAAAGAAGAAGAATTGGCGGCAATGAGTTAGTTAAATCGAAGTAAATTACCGGATTGGAAGAGACGACGGTAGAAGACAAGAAACCGCGAGAAGGAAGGTCAGTAAGAAACTTGGAAGCAGTTTGATCAGAAGAATCAGGTGGCTGAGACGATGACGCTTCCATTGCCAAAATTCACTGATAAACCCTAGCCGAGGCAGATGGACCGACAAAGAGAGAAGAAGAAAGAAGACGCGGAGAGAAAGGAGGAGGGAGAGAGAGAGAGAGGGAATCGCTAAGACCAAATTTACAAAGCGGCAGAGAGGAGAGAGAGAGTCGCCGTTCCCCGTCCGATTGCGTCTATTGGAATTTGGATGGATAGGTATATGGGCCTTCTTGGGCCTTCATATAATTTTAACTAAACCAGAAATACAAAGTGTAGCTTCATCTCTCGTACAATATTATTTCTTCTCCATTGATAAAGACTATTGTAAAAGATTAAAAAATAGCGGTTACAAAGAAAACAGTTTGAACTTTGTAGTGGTACTTTACTACTGTAATAGTTACAGTAAGATACGACGGTCGAATAATAAAATAGCGGTTCGAAATTATATCTGATTTCTCAGCATTAAGTTAGGCTCTCTGATTCGAGTTTGCCTGAGATTTACAAGCTGTACAAACTACAAACCTGTCATATTGGTTCCTTCAAAGAAACCTTGAAAAAATTTCGATATCCATTCATAACATATAGGCTCTGTTTGATTAGGAGCAAGACTAAGAAAATACAATAACATAAATTAGAATCTGCTGCACATTAGATTATATATATGGAGTTAAGCAAGTCTGCAGTTTTGCTGCAATAACTTATAAGTTAACAGGAAGAATTAAAGGAGAATTTTTGTTTGTTTATACTCTCTCTCTCTCTCTCTTTCCAGTAAGCCATTAAATCACAAACAGACACTTGCAAAATTCAACGCAGGGTCGATGATGATCTCCGCTTCTGGTTCCATAGCTCAACTGCACAGCATTGTGAAAATGTGTGAGAGTCAAAACTGTGCAATTTACAAAGTTTTTGTTTATGAAGCTCAAGAAATGAGCAGATGATACAGTAATTGAGCTAGGTTATTTGAGAAACAATGGTGGGACTATCTATACAATTTAGCATATTTGATCAGAAACAACGAACATTTCTTGGAATTGAAGCTGATACATTCCTATAGAACAATCAAAACAAGCTCATGAAGAATCTTAGGCACCCTAGATAATCGAATTCAACAAGCTACATTGCTGTAACTACAAGCCACATTACTGTAATGTACAATTCCTCTAAGACTAAACAAAGTAATCTCATAAAGAATCTTAAGAACCCTAGATGACCGAATTCAAACAAGCTACATTGCTTTCAAATTAAAATTCGCTTACCCCTGGCTATCGAGATTTCCATGGCCGCTACTTCCTCCACTTCCGTAAGACACATCATCACCACCACCACCAGCTGAGTTCTGCCAAACGCTTTGCCATGCCTGAGAAGGAGGCTGAGCATAAACACCGCTAGGATCCATCGCCGGTCTTCCAATCATCATACCTCCGGGAACCGCCGGTTGTCCCATCGGCGGATAATAATAAGGAACACCACTCGCGGCTTGAGGCACCATTCCTCCTCCTCCGAGAGCCGCCGCCGCAGCAGCAGCATCTTCCTCCTCCTTGATCTCTTCCCTAGGAACAATATCAACAAGGAAATCGAAGATATCGGTTCTAGTAATCGCAGCAGCGATATCATTTTTCTGAAGCGTACGACGCTTATTCTCTTCTGCGTGAAGCCAAGATCTAATCGTAAGCTCAAGGATGAAAAGCTCACAGGCTTTAGCGAATAGAATCGGTGCTTCCGCGGAGATCATACGCACATCTTCATCAGCTTTCATGATTTTTTTGATCCGAGCAAGAGGAAGCTGATGGTTTTTGAAATCGTTTACCTGTTCGATCTCTTGTCTCTGGTATGTCCAGAACATTTGAAGCTGTTGTTGTTGTTGCTGGAGGAGGTGGTGGTACGTCGCTCCTCCTCCTCCTCCGCCGGCGATGATTGATGTGGATCCAGGTGGGGGAGGAGGGATTACGGTGGTGACGGCGGAATTAGGAGGATACACGGAGGTTGGTGGTGGTGGTTGGTTGTTGTTGTTGTTGTTGTTGTTGTCCATTGGATCTATGCGTTGTGATTGGATCAAAAGATCAAAGAGCGTTTTAGATTGTTTTCGTCAAATGGATTGGAGCAATAGTGGATAAGGTGGACAGCGATGTAGCTGATTTGTTTTCCTTTTTCTTTTTTGTCAGAGATTTCCTATTCTCTTGACATTAATTTTCTATTTTTTTTTTCATTACTCTATAAAGTATACTCCTTTAAACGACGTAGTATTAAGCTTTGATAAACGGCGTCGTAACATGGCGTGCTACATTGTCACTGACGGAGAAGAAACAAGTCTCGACGACGACGATGACGACACAGGAGCTGGCGACGGAAGGAGAGAAGCATTTGGAAGAAACTATTGAAGCGGCGTTCCAGATAATTTCAGCTATGAATGACGAGCTATGTAACCCTTCCTTGTGGTCTACATCAGCCACCGCGAGCTCCGCCATGGCGACGACGACGGGTTCTAATGGCACGGCTCTTGTTTCCGCCGATGCGGCTGCGATTGATGAAACATCGCATCATTCGGAATCTGGTGGCGGCGGTGGAGGAAGTGGGAATAGTGCTCTGGATGAGGCGAGTCTCCGATATAAGAACTCAGTGACTTCGCTTCGTGCTGTTCTTGCTGCGATTCCCAATTCGCAGAAGGTATTGCCTATTGAAAGATCTGCACTTTCAAATATAATGTTGTGATGTTGCTAACTATTTTGAGAAGTCTTTTGTTCTGAGATTTGTTGCTGGACAATGGAAATCGGAATTTCTAGGGCTTATTTGAATCAGTAGAGTAATCTAACACCATTCTGATCCAATCAAAAGGGCAATGATAGGAGTTTAGATGAAGGATCTATTGATTGTAAAGTATCTTCTTCTTCATTTGTTGTGAACTTTTCCCTGCACCTATGAAGCTAATTCATCAAAATGAGAGCTATTCCAGGTTCCGTAATTATGATTTTGTTTAATCCCTTGCAGCCAAAAGCATCTGAAACAGAAAATGGTTTGGAATCTCCTGAAAGTGAAGATGGAATCGAAAATCTTGAGGAGCAAGCCTTAAGTCTCAGAAAGGTAAAGCTTTCTGCAGTTTCTACATCTCTTTCATTTTTCTATCAGAGTGTTAATACACTGCTACCATATTGCTATTCGATTTCTGTACATTGAACGTAGCATTGAACTTGATTCATATTCTCTAGTACCAAGTTTTTTTTTCCACGTTGTAGTGTAAATGTATGTATCATTAGCTTAAGCACTTCTAAGAACCATGGGAACGTTTATAATTTATTGAATGCATTTAAGTCATCTGTCAGTTTGATTTCTATGGTAATAACATATGTGAAGTGATTATATATATTTTTTCTTCTCTGGTGGCATGAAAATACCGAAACTTTTGTGATTGCAGGAGATTGCAAAGAAGAATGTTCATGTCAAAGAACTTATTGATAAATTTCGGGAACTTATAGCAGATATCTCTACATGGCACAGCCCTTGTTCTGTTTGAGTCTTTTTTTGTTGTTGACAATAGTGAGATCAGTTTAGACAAGATTCGAAGCGTTGTTCTTGGATTCCTCATTGATGTATTAGTTTTAGATAATTTGTTATTTTAATTTTCATGAAACCAGAAAAATCTCAAAGTTACTTTTGTGTATATAAAAAAATATTTCAGACAAAACCTTCAAAACCTGAGTATCTATTTCCATTTTTGTTTGTATTGATCTGTTAAAGAAACACTTTTTGTTGTGTTTTTTGAGAAGTTAATTTCCGAATCTTTTGAGATAAGCCATAAAACCAAGACCAGCTACTAATGCAGCACCAGCCGCAACTCCACTGTAAGCAGCAGCCCAAGCGTCTGTCTCTACATACTCCATCGATTCTGCTGATACTGTCGCTCTTCTCCTTCGTCTTCCTTTGCCTTCTCTTGAATCATCCAAATGTAATCTCAGACTCTGCAATTTGTAACGATCCAATCATCAATTTAGAAAGCAAATGGTGTTGAAGTTCTTCACTTATATCAAACACAGGTATGAAGCAAGAGGAGAGCTGTTCATATATCTATTTTACCTTCCAGCCAATTGATTTTGCATGTTCTATGGCTGCTTGAAGGTCACTATCTGAAGCCAACAACACTTTATCGTGGTCTTCATCTTCATACTGCACATAACCATCATTATAAGTTTATAACATTTCAGGGCTGGCGAGAGAAGACTGCGCAAATGATTGCATCATTGTTTTTTGTAACAACAAATGTTTACATACCAAAATTTGGGGTAAATTATCTGGATCGATATCATCTCCTACCCTCTGAATGATTGCGGTTATCACTTCTGTCAAACTCCGAGTGTCTGCAATGTAAGGACCAATCCAACTGAGTAAAAGCAAGATTATAACAGTTTGACTGGCGAACAAAAACCAAGATTCTGTGTACCGCTTATGAATCTGTGTTTTCTGTGCTTTTTGTCTTCGATCTTGAAAGAAAATGTATTCGCAAATGGAAAGGATTTTCCTGTCTCAGCTTCAGAAGCAACTTTCATGGAGCTCTCACTGGAACAAAGTGTTTTCCAGTCAGTAAAACCACGGCTTAATGTGAAAAGAAACTTGATTAACAGTATTTAATAGAGCCTAGATAGTGACCTTCTTGAGTCCTCGTCGTCCTCATTAGGAGACAAAGCCATTGCTGAATCCCAAAACTTTTGCATCATTGTGTTTGTTGCCTCATTACCTATTCCCGCAGTGGTTCCAGCCTGTACACATTAAAATATACTACACACTTGAAAACATGTCTCTAGAAAATAGTGGCTTTGCTTAAAATGAAATAATTTACAGAAGTTTCAAGAAATCGGGAGTTACTGTGGCAACAGCAGCGTGAGTGACATTGATTACATCTACAACGGCAACTACATCTCCTTCTGCAATCAGAAACCCTTGTTGTTTACATATGTTTACATTTTTAGTTTTCATAAGACTTTACAATTGAAAAAGTTTCAGAATTTTCACCTTTGTCAGTAACGGGAAGGTGTAAGAATTTTCCCTCGTGCATGATGTGCAGAGCTTCAACAATTGGTGTGTCAACAATCGTAGATTCTGGATTCTGAGTCATAACCTACTCATTGATGAATAAATACAAACGATTAAACTCACTAAACTGAAAATAAGAATATAAAAGCTGAAAAATTGATTCAAAACTTAATACTTGAAAGTACAAGACCCAGAGTCTGAGAAGGAGAATAGTTTTTAATCCTACCTTTTCCACTAGAGTCTCAGATGGAGGAAGATTTTCAGCCACAACCCGCATCAGTATATCCTTGGAACTAGATAAATAAGAACAAAACTCTTGAAAGTTAGTGACAAGTATTCAAAAGGAAGGCAGAAAAATTTAGCCAACGCATACGTCAGTTACAAGTTAGTTAGAGTCAGGATAGGAGACTAGAGAGTTCTGTTCGGCATCAGGGAATCTAATTTGGTACATGTGGTTTAGTTGAATGGGGATTCTCTTGAATAAATCTATCGATTTTAGTTTTATGTATTGATTTTTGCAGAAGTACAAGAAGTCCTATTAGTCCGCTAATATTATAGTGTCTGAATGGAAGTTACTAGAAACACTTGAACCGGGAAATAAGGATGAGTGTAAGGCTTTCGGAATCTATACAACTTCAAAAGCTTTCAGAAAGTTGGATAACTCACGTAAATATTCCTTGAAGCTTGTCCTCGATCATTACAACTGCACAACTTGATTGAAATTCAACCATCTTCTTAGTTACTGTCAACACTGTATCGGTCGGTGAGACTTTCAAAACCCTGAACAAAACCAGTGTTAAGTTAAAACTTAAAAGAACATAATTGATGGGAAAGAAAACAATACAAACACAGAATTTAATTAGAAAAAGAAGAGATTACCTACTTTGTATCATCTGGTATAATTGTTGATAAAGAAGGTCTAAACATCCGGTCTCGTAGTGTTTCAATGAAGGTGTTAGGAACTACATGAAAAATCAACATACTAGACATTCAGAATCTGATAAAATAAAGTAAGAAGCAAAAGATAAAAGAGTTTTATGCAGGAGAGATTCAGCTCCTTCCCACCTGAAGTATTTGTTCCCCAGCTTTTTTCAACACCTTCAACAGCAGCAGCTATTGCCTTACCTTTCTCAGCTGCCCTCTCCATACGAGCAATCGCATCATACAGACACTTTGCTATATCTAATAAAGCAATAACTTCGCCATTTTCAACAACAGGCAGATGTCTAAATTTTCCTGTAGTATGTTAACATATAGCCTCATTAAGGATCCATACACAGGGTTCTTCAGATGGACATCAGTTTTCTCTAACTTAAAAACAATTAGACAAACCTTGGACCATCTTTTGAAGGGCTTCAACAGCAAGTGTTTCTGAGAGAACAAACATTGGATTCTTCGTCATAACCTTGGAGACAGGTGTTTCCTCGACATTAAGTTCCTGTGAAATCACTCTTGTAGCTATGTCCTGAAAATGCAAAAGAAAAAAAGACAGCAAGATGATAAGTCTCCATTTCCTTGCAAGGTGTTTCTTAAAGCTTGGAGCAGTCATAGTGACAAACCTTATCTGTAAGAATCCCACAAAGCATTTCATTAGCGTCAGTCAAGAGTAATGCATCAACTCTTCGTGAAGCCATGCGTTTACAAGCTTCATATATAGTGGTGGTTGCTGGAACTGTAAGAGCTTTGGAAAGCCTTAACCGCTTAACAGTTCGCTCGCCTCCTGTTAAACCCCTGATCAAAATCCAAAGCATCATAGATATAAATAAAATCACCTAAGCTTAATACTAATGTATACTTTATATCTAAAGAAACCAAAATCTGGCCTAGAAGCTAAACGTTGTCTCGGTTTGCAGTATAAAGATGAGACTTACAAAGGGGAACGAGAAACAGTAAGAGATCTGCGGCCAGAGTCGGGAAGTCGTTCGCCGATATCCATAGATTTCTTCTTGCCGTGCAATGACGCAGTCGTAACAGATAAGCTCCGTCTTGATGACCCGCCTTGGCTTGCCATTTTCTACTGTATTGATTTTAGAAGAATTCAAACCCTCGGAATCGTCAACGCTTACCGTAATCAACGATTTTGATTAAAATGAATTTAACAAATTCCAATAAGGAAAGTTTTTTGCGAAAACGCAACGAATCAAGCAAAACAAAACACTAAAAGAATCAGAAAAAGAAGACAAGCAAAGCTGTATTACCAGACCAATTCGTCGAAGGGTCAATAAATGGATTATTAAAAAACAAAAACTTGAGCTCAAACGAAGTTGGGATTAGTTCCGTTTCGTAGATGCTCTATCTCTCTCTATTGTCAAATGGTTCGTCAGAGAGATAACGGCAAAAGAGAAAACGACGATTTGCGAGAGAAAAAGGATTACAGAGATTGATTCTCCCGGGAAAGTGATGGGAAAATGAAAATTAGAAAGAAATATAATTATTTCTCTGTAAAACGTTTTTTATTTTGTGCTTTTCCCCCAATCGGAGTCTTTTGATTTTGATGCTCTCTATAATTTGGACGATCGCTACCTTTTTTTTTTTGGTCTTCTGCTTTTTATTTTGGCAATACATATATTGATTTCTTATAATTTGTTATTGACAGTGTTGTCCTCAAACCTTTAGGACTAGACAAGTGGATCAAAGATTTGTTTCTCATTTGGCAAAGGGTATTATGGTCATTCTCTATTTTTGGTCATACACACGAGTTGATACTTTCTGGATCTTTTAATGTTTTTTTTTGATAATTGGATTTGTCTTTACTCTTTCTTTTTAGCAATTGGATTTTTTTGGTCTACGACACAGTAAATTCTAACTGATTTTTTCTTAAATAAAACAGAAAGATTTTAAATGGGAGACTTTAAAAAAAAATGTATGTTCTATCTGGATAGAAAAACGTCTAGATTATAAACAAAAATTAAAATTAAACTATATCCACTCTGTCTCAATGTACTTCAATTTTTTAAAAATATATATATATATATATATATATAGTAATGTTGAATATATTTTTTGGACGAAAGAAATGTTGAATATTTATATGTTGATAAGTGATCGTCTCAACAATTTTGACCCAAAAAAAATGAATGTCCCAACAATTTTGACCCAAAAAAAAAGAAAGAGAAAAATAATTAATGTCACAACAATTAAATCAAAGCTTTATGAAATAGCATGTTGGGCCGAAAACTCAAAGCCCATACATACTAAAGACCTCCTCACCTATAAGATTCACGTTGTTCGAAATAGTTTCCCCCAAAATAAATTAATAACTATTTAAAACTAAAGTATGTCCACGTGGATATCACCAATTGGTTCACCAGACCATTAGCTTTCACATCCCACGAGAAGCTTCGTCTCTAAACAAAAAACCAAAAAAACTCCAGCTCCTTCCCCACTCTCTCTCTCTCTCTCTCTCTCTCTCTTCAAATTTGTGCGTTCTAATCTCTCTCTCTCTCTAGAAGACTAGAACAAGAAGAAGTTATGGCGGATTGGGGGCCAGTGTTGATCGCCGTGATCCTCTTCGTGGTTCTATCGCCGGGACTACTTTTCCAGATTCCGGCGGGAGGTCGAGTTGTCGAATTCGGGAATATGCAGACCAGTGGCGCGTCTATTCTTGTTCACGCCATCATCTTCTTTGGTCTCATCACTATCTTCACAATCGCCATTAACGTCCACATCTATTCCGGTTAAACTGTGTAGCCAGAACAAAACCGGTTCTGTTTTTGTTATTTTGATTGTAAGATCTCTGGATTTGTTTGTAACATTTTCGGTTTTGTGAATATAATCAAAAATTTCTTATTCTATTTTTACTTTTTGGATCTTGTATGCATCAATTTGGTTGTGATCTGGTTTAGTTTAGTTCTTGGTTCTTAGTTTTTCAAGTGCTACTTGACAATAAATCATAATTACTAAAATTAAGCTGATAAGGCTTATTAAAACGACAACGTTTGCTTTTTATTATTGGGCTTATATTGGCCCATTAAAAACCCCAATTTGTATCTCGTTCAATTTCAGCTGAATCTTTCGACGACCACTCTCTCTCTTTCTCTCTTTGCAAATCCTCCAAGAAATCCAGAATCCATAGCAATGGCGACTTCAATAGCTCGATTTTCTCGGAGAGGAGTAACTACTAACCTGATCCGTCGCTGCTTCGCTGCGGAAGCTGCGTTGGCTACAAAGACAGAAGTGCCTAAACCGCAATTGACGGTGTCGCCGTCGCCGGATCGGGTGAAGTGGGACTACAGAGGCCAACGACAGATCATTCCTTTGGGACAGTGGCTTCCGAAGGTAGCCGTTGACGCCTACGTTGCACCAAATGTTGTGTTGGCCGGTCAAGTCACAGTCTGGGACGGCTCGTCTGTTTGGAACGGTGCCGTTTTGCGCGGCGATCTCAACAAAATCACCGTCGGATTCTGCTCGAATGTACAGGAACGGTGTGTTGTTCATGCCGCGTGGTCCTCCCCAACTGGTTAGTGCTCTCTTCTCTCCATTTTTTCGAAATTTGTGTTCTGATTATCTAATTTCTGGTATGGAATCAAGACAATGTTGATTGGGATTTAGGGTTTTCTTATCGTCCCTTTTCAGTTATCAAATGCTTATAAAAAGGGTGTCAAAAACTTAGACGAGTATGTGCGTAAATGCGTAGTGCTTTAGGTAATTAGTGCTACAGAAAATCAATAAACTCACTAAAGATTGAGCTCAATATCAAGAATTGAATAGATTAGCACGGTAGATACTACAAAAAACTCATCTTGTGTAGCACTAAGAAGTTTCCTGGCAAAAAAATTTGGAAACAATGTCTCGGTAAAGGGTTTTTAAGTTATTGAGAGAACTCTGCAATGTTTCAGTTCTCTGGTTACTCGTGACTGGAATTGGGATATTATGATGATTAAGCTTTATCACATGGATGTGAGCTTGGTTTTGATTATATGATGATTAAGCTGTATCGCATGGATGTGAGCTTGTGTTTGCTCCAAGGTTGAAGCAAGGTTCTATATCAAAGTTTTACTTAGAGAGACCATCCTTGTTTTACCTGGCTTAGCAGCACTATGACAGTATCTATTCAATAATGTTTCTGGTCACATTGATGAAAGTTCTTTTTTATCTTTTTAAGGCTAGAGTATGTCTTGGTTTTGCTTTACAAATTGCACCAAATCTTGACTCTTTTCTGCAGTTCTTACCTGTGATATGATGAACTACAAATTTTGATTCTAGGTTTACTGTCTACTTTAAATTTTCAGGATTACCAGCAGCGACAATTATCGACAGGTACGTGACAGTGGGTGCATACAGTCTTCTGAGATCATGTACCATCGAACCAGAGTGCATCATCGGGCAGCACTCAATACTAATGGAAGGATCTCTGGTTGAGACCCGATCAATCCTGGAAGCGGGATCAGTTGTGCCGCCAGGAAGAAGGATCCCATCAGGTGAACTATGGGGAGGCAATCCAGCAAGATTCATTAGAACCCTAACCAACGAAGAAACCCTAGAGATCCCAAAACTCGCTGTGGCCATCAACCACTTAAGCGGAGATTACTTCTCTGAGTTCCTGCCTTACTCAACTGTCTACTTAGAGGTAGAGAAGTTCAAGAAGTCCCTTGGAATCGCCGTCTAGAAGCTTTGTCTTTTTGGGGTTTCAATTTCGTGTGCTTATCTATCATATCATGAGGTCTCTCTGTCTGCATATTGCAATAAGTAGCTGAAGAACATCAAAACAAGTCCGGCTCTATTTCTTTTTGGTTCTCAAATGTTTGTCTCGTCGTTTTTGGGTTCTTTGTAAAATTCCATTTAAAACTGATTTTGGCTGGATATTGTCTGAATGATAATGACGAAGACTTCTGGTTTTGTTGTATGTGAGCAAAACAAATAAATAAACTAAATTGTTTTTCGTTATTTGGGGTTAGATCATTGCAACTTGAAAGGATCAAAGGAACATTGTGTAGTTTACTTGAAGCTATCGTTTTACCTTGAGTTTGACAGAATGAAGAACTTAATAGGTCAAACTGAACACAATTTACTCAACATGGGTTACTTTCTAACATCTTTAAAATTCTTCTACCGTTGGTGATATAGTTTATAAACATATAACTCGTGTCTAATTAATAACGTAAATTATCACCCTCTTTGTTCTCACTCTATAAATTCCAAGATTCTTCACATAACCAAATCATCCCCAAGCATCAAAGTGAAAAGAAACAAGAGAAAACAAAAAGAAAGAGATAAGATTTTTGATTAGAGAGATGGAAAGCAAAGCAAGAGCCATTGCCTCCGTGGTCCTAGCTGTAGTCTTATGTGCCTTGGTTTTGATCACTCCAGGAGCAGTAGCTCATGATCAGCAACCACCACGACCAAAATCTCCACCGAGTTATTCTCCTATCGATTTAGGGAAATGTTGGTCATCCCTCTTCAACGTCCATGGATGTGTACTCGAGCTATACAAATCAGTTTTCACTGGAAAATTTGGAAATGTAGGAGTCGCATGTTGCAAGGCATATTCGACCATTGATGCTAACTGTTGGCCTCATATGTTTCCGTTGAACCCCTTCTTTCCCCCTCTTATTAAAGACAATTGTGCACATATCGTTCCCAATTTGCCTGCACACAAGTGAGAATTCGACAAGAAAGTGGACCATTATTCATCATTTAGCTTTAAATTCTATTGAAACTCTTGTTATTCATGTTCTAATAAGTCTTATGTCGAATGCAATACGTTTATATATATATATATATATATATATATATATATAGAATCTATTTATTGAGCTAGCTTTTTTCTTGGGACAAAGTAACTCTATCTTCAACATACAAACTTCGATTACCATAATAATAATAAATTAAACGTGACAAAGTGAAATTTATACTTCATTGCAATAGCACTAGAGTTTATAACCAACGTACATGTGATGGAGAAGTTTATGAAGTTGATTAGAGAGCCAACTACATATAATTTACGTTCGAATTAATTAATTTGACTCAACTGACTATATTGGACGTAAAATTTACTGATCAATCTGCAATTGTTATCACTTGAAAATTAGGTTACTTTTTTTTTAGTAATATTGGCATTATCATTACTTTCCAGGGAAAATATGTTTGCCTCGCAATGTTTTATTATGATCTACATACTATCAGCTAGCTCATAAGAAATTCACTTTTAGACTTGGTCTCGCTAACTTAACCTTATGTAACAAATATGATTGAGTAGTAATTAACAAAACTAAAAATATGAAATAATGATACAAATTGCTAGGATATTCTATCCACCACCTAAACTTGGACCTCGTCTAGCTAGCTACCATAACCGGGTTTGGAAGTAAACTCCTAAACCAGAAAGAGGTTACTTAAGTGTGTTTATAACTTTAATTAAAGGAAAGCTTAAAACAAAAGTAGAGTAACTGATTCATACTACAAATCTAATTAATCAGTAACTAGTTGAATACTTGAATTAGTTCCACGTTTCAAAACTGAAACAAGAACATACATTATACTACATGTCAGTCAAAACTCAATTTACTCATCAACTTTATTTTCATGTCAGATAATTTAACTCATTAATTAAATCCAAACATGAGTTACATTTTGAAACGCAACTTAATAAGTGATTTTGTAACTCGTCTATTTGTTTAATAACAACTTGTTTCAAGATCCTATAAATTCTAAGTTTCTTCGTATATCCAAATTCATCAAAGCATATAAAAAAGTCTAAAGCAAACAACAACAACAACAAAAAAGTCTTAAAAAGGAGTAATAAGAAAATGGGAAGCAAAACCATTGTCTCAATGATCTTAGTTGTATGCCTTTGTGCTGCAACTTTTGTCACTCAAGGAGCAGCTCAAGTGAAACTCCCTCCACTGAGTCCTGGGCTCTTCCCTCCCGGTTCACCTATTGATCTGGTAAAATGTTGGACGTCTCTTTTCAACGTTGAAGGATGTGTGCTTCAGATCTCCAAATCAATTTTCTCTGGCAAGTTTGAAAACGTCGAAGGTGCATGTTGCAAAGCGTTTTCGACCGTGGATGCAAACTGTTGGCCTCATATGTTTCCGTTAAACCCATTCTTCCCACCTCTCCTCAAGGACAACTGTGCACGCATCAACTCTAACTCACCCACACACACTTGATAACAAGAATAGTTCTTAATTAGTCTCTACACTTAACTGTTAGCAGATCAAAGTATAATAAGTGTTCATGTTTTTTTTTGCTGGCGAAGTGTGAGGTCATATCTTTAGAGAACTCTCTATGTAATGTAACAGGTTTTTCTCAATAAAGCATTTAAAATTTATCTTATTATTATAATTAACCCTTATATGAATATGGCCTGGTCACAAATTAATTACTAGTATAAGTGTATAACCAAGTGAACGTGGCTCTATACGGGGAAAAGAAAGGAAAACATTGAGAATTGTTTTATCCAATCCATGATCAAGAGTTTAGTTTGCAATCCCTCTTTCTTGGAAGTATATTATAAAAACAACGTTACTAAGGATATGTAATTACATTTAAATGTCGTTACAAATATAGGTTTTTCAGAAGAGATTAATTGTGATGAAGGAGAAAATTGTCAAATACTAATTTATTTAATTTATTAAAATTATAAAGCGAAAATATATTATTTTAAAAAAATGAATTAGCAATCAAAATTAACATATAAGATTTGATATCTAGTTAATGATATTAATTTTTTATTAATCAATATACTTCACTTTTCATTTTTATATGATTATATTTTTGTGAAAATAAGACAATCCAGTCATTCATATATTAATACAAATGTATATTTTTATGCATATGCCATGATTTGAATTTTGTAAAACGAATATAAATTGTTTATTTTATACTTGTAACGGGTCAAAAATTCAATTTTGAGTAATATATATTAATATTCAAAACAAAAATGTATTCATCAAAAATTTTGATTAAGTAATGGGTCAAGATTTGAATACTTATATTTAGTTTCATAATTATTTTTTTAATGTATAACTTTATATACTACAATAAACTATATAATCTTTTAATTTGGAAAATTTTAAAATAGCTTAACTTGATAAATTAAGAAAATATCATACAAATTTTATATCAAAAAAATAATAATTAAAAATCCTTTTTTTTTAACCAGACATATTGAAATATTTATTGCATGCGACGAGTTAACTGTAAAGTATTAGATGATAAAATGATTTAGAATCATATAACAGACGATAAAAATAACTAAAAGTATAAATAAAATCATAAGACATAAATTAATATAACAAGTCAAAACTTTATTTTAAAATATAACTAAATAAAATAAAATATAACCCAGGCATGGATACTAATCTAGTTATGTTTAAAACGGAAGTAAATAAAAAAAAAATAACAAAAAATGGAAGTCTTATTATTTTTAAAGAAACAAATATACCAGAGATTAGTCAAAGATGAAATGACGAGGTTAAAAGGTAAGAATACGTGTGTTTCCGCAGAAAAAAGAAAACAAAAAGGTAAGAATATGCGTTGACCAAAAAAATGGCTATAACATAATCGGTAATTCAACGTAACAGTAGAGGTAAGTCGGTAACTCCCTCTATATATACAAAAAAAAGGAGATCATCACTTACAATCTAAACACTTTGTAAGCAAGTGACTTAGTGACAACAACAACAACAAAAACTTGAGCTTACAAGAAAAATGACTCTCAAGCTTGTCTTCTTGGCTGCCTTCATTGCACTTTGTATGCATTTCTCTTTCGTTTTCTTTTATTACTTTTGAATTTTCCTTTCAAGTAATCATACATCTCTCATCATCATTTTTTTTTCTTCACACTCAACGCCATTGTAAGATCATCCTTGTAATGTGTTGAGACTTGAGAGTTTGGTCATCTAAATGTTTTTGAAATTGTTGTTTTTGTTTTGTTAAGGTTTTTCTTTAAGTGTTGCGAGAGAGATGCCTAAGGATGTAACGGTGCCCTCGGAGCCTTCTCATGGTCCCCCGTCGCAACCTGGTTATGGGCGGTGGCCGTCGCAGCCTCGTCATGGGCTGCCTGGTCATGGGCAGATGCCGTCGAAGCCTGTTCATGGGCGGTCACCGTCACAGCCTGGCCATGGGCAAGTGCCGTCGCAGCCTGGTCATGTCCATCTACCGGTGCTGCCTGGTCATGGACGGCCGTCACCACCACCACTGGATGATACGACAGAGATGTCCAAGGAGAAAATGAAGGTGCCGCCTTGTTATGTGTCGCCTCCACCACCAATGATGTAAAAGAATCGACTATAGTAAAATGATTCTTCATATGTCTTCCAGGCCGAACATTGTGCCTTCTTAAATTTTTTTAATCTATGACTTGAAATAAAATAGTTCTTTAGTTAACTTATTAATCTCTTAATAACCAAAAACAAACAGACACCTTAACTAAGAGGTATACGAGACAATAAGATATACGGAACTATAAACGTGAAGACACCTTCTGATGCTCACTTCTTTCTTTTCCTCTCCATCCTCTACAAATAAGCTGCGTCCGATTTCACCGTTGCAGAATATACCGCCAAACGGTAACTCCGGGAAATTCTCCAAAAACGGTGTGCAATCTGCGTTTTGACGACCAAAGAAGGAGTCACCGCGTCTGCTACCAACGAAAGCAAAACCTCCAACGACTTCCGGCTTATTCGGCTTAGACTGGAGATTTCTAAGCTGAGAAGAAACAGCATTTAGTGATGCTTCAGCCACTTTGAGATCAGGGAGGTATACTTGGAAATAGTCACCGGTTTTGATTTCAGCACCATTGACTAAAAGATCCTGCTCATCAGCTCTGAGTAAACAAAAAAAAAAAAACACTTAGATGGGTCAAAAAGGAACTGATTCATGTTATGGAACCTGTGAATCTTTACCCAGTCACTTGATGGAATACAAGTGAGGCCATGATCTTTGGCTTCTCCTCCAAACCAATTGAATATTTTCTTCGTTTTATTACTCCAAGATATGGATCATTCTCCCAGATCTGGTTTCCTAACTGTAATTTCAAGTCAGTTTAGTAACCAAATTTTAGAATAAATAAAAAATTGGATTCAGATGCTTACAAAATCATTTATGTCATCTAAAATTTGGTCGCCATTAAGAACCTCTGCTTCTCCTCCTCTTTTTGCAGTCAGAAGCGTAGAAGGACATCTAGGGCGACGACTAACACGGACATTAGCCGCCTTGTACCTCAGATCAACTGATGACATTGCTCTTGATATTGCAGCGTCAAACTGAATTCTTCCGGCCTCTGCTTCATTTAGTTCAGCAAATTCATAAAGACTTGGGTAAAATTGAAAGACAAGATTTCAAGTCCAAAACACATAATAAGCAAAGCATGAAAGAAATATGCTGAAATATATAACCAAGCAAAAGTAAAGATAAATTGATGTAGCGTAGTTTTTAAGCAGATAATATAAAAACCGCAGAAACTTACGAGTGGGTCTGTGTCTGTCTCTTGCAAAGACTAAACCTGCGAAAACTCTGCTATCATCTTTGTGTAACTGAACATTTCTTGGTTCATTACCACGTTTATGTAGAAACTCGCAAGTTTGATCACCCACAATAATAGTTTCTGCAGGCATGGCATAATCTGCAATGCAAACAAGTTTTCAAGCACAGTAATTTCTATATTACCACAATGGTTGGTTGTTCTCATTTACAGAGTCTAGCCAGAGCAAAAGAAGTGAAGAAAGGAGGTAGACAACCAACAAACCAACACAGAAGAATGATATGTTTCACTTTTCATGAAGTAATATTGAAACGATGTACCATAAGGCAGTCCACATACCCAGTTTTTGAAGAATAGGTTCTGTGGCATGAGTATCCTCCTACAAATTCACCAACCGAGCATGAAGAAAAAAGAAAATAGCCATGAAACTGAATAAAACCCACAAGTATAACAGAAAAGTATAATTCACCCCAAAGAGTATAAGACAGGCTGGTGCAGCATGACCTGAAACTACGGATACATAATTTCTGATATCCATCACAAAATTTTCTCCGATTTCAGCTTCTAATTCCTGCAATATAAATATTCAAAATCTCAGTCTACCTATTAACATGTCCACTAAACAAGATGTTCACTTAATTGTAATTTTTGTTTAATATGTGAGACTATGACCTTTTTTATTTGCTTCTTGTAAGCAAATGAAGCAAATTCATTGAAGACAACAAATAATTTAGCCAGCGAACAAGCTCATTGAAGAAAATAAGAGTTTAGAAAAACCAGGAGAAAGTTATCTTGTTTAGAACAATTAAAAATATTACCCCTTTTGCTTGAATTGCAGGAATAACGTCGACTTTCATTCCTGGTAAGTATCCAATCGTCAACAGTATAGCGAAATTTGCAACAACGGACAAGCCATCATCAGTTGTGACATGATGTTTAACCTGTAAAAGTGATAGAAGGTGAACATAAGCTAAAAAAATTAGGAAATAAAAACGCACAATACAAAATGGTAAGAAAACAATAAAACCTCTCCAGCATTGTCATTGCATGCTTCCTTTCCTAAGATTCCAGCAACAACGGATACAATAATAGGAACCCTTGATCCCACTCTTTCAGTTATCTACATCCATGCGCATTACGAACAACATTAGAACGAGTGCAAAGCAATCATAATTGGACCTTTTACCCCATTACTCTTTTGAAATGATACAACAGAGGTGTAATGCAAAGAAGGAACCACACCAGTGTCAACGTTTCTTCCATGTTCCCACATGTAATGTTTGCGATCACAAAATGTGGTCGAATTGGCTCAGACAAAACCTTATCAAGCACTTCTTCACCAGCTCTCTGTTTACCAAATTAAAACGCGTCAGTATTTGATAAAGAGCACATACTAGACATTAAAAGCAAAAAAATCAGCGACCCTCCCTCAGCTTCATGCTGGCTCTATAAGGAAGAAATCTCATATTTATATTTGATATTGTAACTTTTCAATACACTTGATCCCATTGCACTTTCTAACATTCGAATTAAACCTTGTGACGAGCTCTAAGAACTACAATGAAGAGAAGTTTGAATTTTTCCAATGTGAAAAAACCAAAATTTAAATGAAAACATAAAACTAAGAAGAAGAAGAAGAAGAAGAAACTTACAGTTTGGTTAGGATTACGTGAGAAAGCAGAGACCATTTTGGGGCGAGAGAGGATTCGATTGCAGAGGCTGTTCCAGGATCGGTTAACACAGGAAGCGAAAGCAAACGATTTCGCCGGCAACCTCAAGAGAATGTTATGAAGAAGGTCATCGTTTATGGAAGCGATTAAAACCATATCAGCAATGACTATCTTCTTCTTCGATTTCTCACTCGTTCCCTTTATCATCTCCTTCGTTGAGACAACACTTCCGCCAACAGAGATGCTAAAAAAAAAAACTTCCTCCGGCCGTCCGGCGAATATATTTGGGCTTTTTTGAATAAAATTGAATTGGGCTTTCACAAAAAGGCCCAATATCTTCTTTTTGGATAAAAAAATGCCCAATATCTAAAAGAAATAGTTCAAATTTATTTTTTAGTTCACTGATAAACGAAACAAATTGAGTTCACTCTTCAGTGAGAAAAGCAAAGCACACGTAAATTAAGACTTTAGCTAAAACAATTTCATATCGATAACTCTCAGCTAAAAAAGATGAGTAGTTTTATGTTAATTAGACAGGCTTGTATAAGTTATAGTTTTTCACTCTTTTTGCCTTTTTTTTCTTTCTTTTCTTTTTGAAGGTTATCATTCATCAAAGTACCTTTACAATAAAGAACATGTATAATCATAATTTTAAACTGGATCCGAGTATCTGGACACTGAATGAGTTCTCTCTAGATATGACCTTGTATATTTTGGATCTCTATGCCTTTTAAGTTTTACCTAAATGATTTTCTATAGTACGTCAAAAAAATATATATTCAGCTATCAAAGTAAAGCGAAATGAAACAAGTTTTACATTACATAAATCGTTTACTGGTTCACTCAAAACATCATACATATTCCAGTCCTTTTAATGGGTCTATATATATCTATAGTCTCTATAATGTTTGTGAATTGTGAAATTGTAATTGGAAAATTGTTTAAGACATATACATTGACAAAAGTCAAAACAAAAGAAAAGAAGAAACCCACAAAACTTGAGATAAGAAATCTTATCTTTTAATGTGTCACACACTGTACTTGTTTTGGATATACATTACAGACACAAAGTATCTTCTTCTTTCTTTGGTTCATATTATCTCTAGTTTTATTTTCTTTTCCCTGAAATAACGAAGAATCTTTTTTCCAGTCTCAACATTTGTTTCATTAATGTATGTGTTACTGAATTTTAATTGTATTTTGTAAAATTATGTATTGAATATTATAAATCTAAAAGGTGTTATGAAAAAAGCAACCGCCCTTGTTGGTACATGTTGGATGGTAGTATTTCATTTGTACAAGTCTCCGCTGACTTCGTTATGCTGTAAAGTAAAAAAAAAACAAAAAACAAAAGATCACGTGTAAAAATGTGTCATATGCTAACGTTCAGTTTATTCTGCATCATCACCTTCACCAATATATTAAGCAAAATTGTTTGAGTTTTCTTTGTTTTAGTTTGGTTATTGAACTCCAACATACATTCTCATTCATGTTTTGAGAAAATTGGTTAATTGCTTGATAATATATATATACCACTAGAGATTTCACTTCTATTACAAAATATTACTTATATTGTAGAGGTTGAAAAGTAATGTGGTTCTTTTTTTATCACATCACAAAATCATATATATATCAAGCAAGCATTTTTTTTTTTTTTACGTTCGTTCGTACTTATTTGACTCGTGAGTAGAGTTTTTTTTTTTTCCTTGATAGTGATTAGTGAGTAATAATAGGCATTTTAACAAAAGTTTTGAACTTTCAATGTTTTCGACATAATGTTTGAAAGTTATTAATCGACAAGTGGTTGCCATATAGTAAGGAACTAAGAGGTGTAACATATAACAAACGACACTATCTTTAAGACCAAAGAAACATTTCTTTATCGCATTCGAAAGAGAACTTAAGTGGAGACTATGTAAAACACATGTATGAGAGTACAATCATGAATCAACAGTAAGACAACATTTTCTTTTCTTTTGGTGGTAAAAATTTTAAACCATATCTACAATTTCTATATATAGTAAAGAAAACCAATCAATATTTTATCTACAGGCAAAAGAGTGATCATTTTATAACGGTAAAAAAAAAAGTTAATGGTGGACAATGAAATTTATATAACGCCAAGCCAACAACAAAACTTACACCGTTAAGTTCGAGGAGGTGGGCAACGCAAGAATGATGTGGAAGGAGGAGGAAAAGAACAAAGGCCCAACAGAAACGGCCGTTACGTCATTATTACTGATGACGTGTCGTCGTCAACCCTTGGATTCGATTGTCTCTCTCTCTCTCTGTTACAAAAGCATTTAAAGTTTTTACCAGATCCATCATCATTTATTATATCACACACACCACTGACCATTTTAAAGGAGACAAAAACAAATTTATGAAAATATTGTAACACCAGAACTATATATAATACCATATTGTATTATTCCTTTAGTATTTTCTTTCATCAAACCGGATATTTTTTCAAAATATACGAGTATCTGTATACCGGTTCTAGTCGTACCAATTGGCTCTGTTGTTTTGTTTTTTTCTACTTCGCCTCACTTGTATATAAATAAGTTTTTTTCAGTCTTGAGTTTTTTTTTTTTTAACTATCAAATGTATATTTTTGAAATTTTCAACAATTTTTGGTCGAGTACATGGTGAATACTTCATTCTATGATTATCAAATACTAAAGCTGTAAAGTAGTTTAATTTTATATCTTAAAAATAACCCAGTGTCACGTTTTGTTGATGAGCTTTCGATTCTTAGTATTTACCAAAAATAAACTTGTCAGATAAATTAATACAGTATATAATATTCTTTTACGACTGTGTTTAGGTGTGACTATAGTTTGTCAGCTACTTATAACTCACCATTTTTTTACCTTTTCTTACCGTTACCAGTAAAATTATTTACTAATTTGAAAATAGTCGTAGCATATCATGACTTCACAGAACATTAGCATTTTGCGTCATTGTTTCAAAACTCTACGACTATCAAGTGTTATTCTCTCTAAAATTTCATGTGCTCTGTGATTTATAGATGTTATAATTAATTAGTAGATTATAGAAGAAAATAAAAAAATACAAATAAAGCGTATATATGTAATTGTTCTGTATTCGTACTCGTTTTATTTATAACATGCAAAGTCGAGAAAAAGAGAGAAGAATCCAAGTCGGCAAAGTCCATGTGTAAGCCTTGGGAATACAAATACTTGTCCCACAGTGCGATCCAAAGTTCCTGCTCCACACGTGTGGAGTCCTACTCGGCGCCACGTCAGTATTCATTGCATGGGAGGGCATAAATTTTTGAGGTGGTGATATGATCTGATAAATTTATAATTATCATTTCGATAGCTTGGAGAAGTTACTCGAGTCGAGGTTTCACCGTCAAAATTTGTGGACCTAATTAGTAAGAGTTTCATCTACCACTAGTGTAGTTGTTAGTGTCTCACTCATTTTGGAGATCAATGACCAAACTTCTAGATCACTATACTTATTTAAGTAAATGGCGGACTAGATTATAGTTTCGAATTCTGATTAAAACAACATAGATTAATTACACTTGGTTCATCCAAACGAATGTTGTAATTATGATTAGGTATTTGCTTCAAACGAAAAATACTACATTTCATTAACTTTAGTTTGACCAAGATAACCAATTAACTCTCATCGCTTACTCTTATGTAACAGAAATTTACTTTTAGTTGCTCATTTCGAAACGCATTAAAGTACTATTTTATGTTTAAGAAAAGTTTTCCATATGCTTAAAGTACATACTGTGCATAGCTAATTTGTATACAAAAAAAAAGCAAAATTACAGTAACATATCCTAGACTAGTTTGAAGTTGAACCATATGTTTGAAGTAGTTCAGTATATATACAATACAAAACAGTATATATACGTATATTATATAGTATATACTATAATATATGTGCATAAAAAGATGTGCTCTATGAATGAGGGGAAAATGTGAAATTATGTCACCATTGTTGTTCTTCCCTTTTGAGGGTGAAATATTAAAAAACAGACGCTCGTTGGCTCTCGTTGGTTCCTTTAGGTTTTAGCCATAGCATTAGGCCCATAGGTATTAGTTGTTATCAAGAATGCCGTGTTCACTTCATCATGATCATCTCATGTTTAATAACAACACGCATTTTTATTCCACCAATCAATTGATATATGTTTTTTTAATCTTTTTTTATTCGAAAAATAGAGTTAAAAAATCGTGCAGGAACTTGTAATTAGTGAGTCACCATTGCTGCTGTTATTTGTATTTACATTAGATAAATCATAGATGTAACATTATATTGGTCATCTTACCTTTACGTTTAATTTACTTTACATTGGTTAAAACGTAATAATACGAAGTTATATATTTCATATGAAAGTTCAACAAGAACAAGTAGTAGTATTCATTAAGGTTAGGTTATTTTGATCCATTTTTATTTGTGACTGAAAACTTGCAATGATATTCTTAAATCAAAACTTTTGTTTCTTAAGAAGGTTCGTTATATTTTCATTCGTTTTTCACAATGGTAACGTTCGAGTTGAATAAATCATTAATATTTTACACAAATTACAACTGGGGACAAACGGAAAATACATGATTGGTTGGACAATCCATTAACTGTCAATCTCGAGAATTAGAAATTGTGCTTTGACAGTTTTAACTATATATATAGAAACACAAATAGCGTGAGTATTAGGTATATTTTTGACTGTTAAACTACTAAACGAAATAATTAAATTTAAAAGTATACTAAAACACAAAACAAAAAAATAATTAGTTAAATAATATTAGATTCACGTATAAGTCATGTTAAAAAGGGGATAAAACAAAATAATTTACATTTCTTTTCAGATCTTGAGGTCCACAGTTCCACTTTCGTACCAACACCCCAAGTGGTTCTTTAGAGAGAGAGGGCGTGAGTGAGAGATTTATAAGCCTCTCTTTGGGTGCATTACACCATCTTTTTTTTTGTTTGTGAACATAGAAACACTCAAACCTCAAAAACAAAATATGGGAGAGGTTCAAGAAAATCTCAAACTCTTATATTTCATCTTTTCAAATCTCCATAAACAATAACAGCTTAATTGTTCTGATTTATATTTTTTATTTTTTTTTGGTTTTGGGTTTACAGGAAGAGAAGAAACCAGAAGCAGCAGAGGAGAAGAAAATGGAAGAGAAGAAACCAGAAGAGGAGAAAAAAGAAGGAGGAGAAGAGAAGAAAGTGGAGGCTGAGAAAAAAGGAGATGA